CAAATGTTGTTGTTATGAAGAGAGAGAGAGAGAGAGAGAGAGAGAGAGAGAGAGAGAGAGAGAGAGAGAGATAGAGAGAGAGAGAGAGAGACAAAAAAGAAAGCGAAAGTCAGAGAAGAAACCCTCTAAAGAAGATATCCAGCGCCATCACTGAAGAAGAAAAGAAGACAATCTGCAGTGTAGGATCCTTATTCCGTATAAAAAGATTCGCTTTTGTGCGAGAGAAACATTATTTGTAAGTCATTCTTGGTCCATCCTCTGGTTTCTAAATCGGAGAGAATTCTACAATCTCATTATTTATCGGGGGAGTTTTTCGGGCTAGGTCCTGTGATTTTTACTTTTCACATTAAAGATGTTTTCCCCAATAAACGATTGGTGTGTTCTCTACTATTCTCTTGTTTCTATTTTAATTTTGTTTCCTTTATTTGCTAACGTTTCTGCAAGGCAAACTGAGAGAAAGTCGAGCTCCACGACTCAATAGTATCTCTCTTTTCTTGAGCACCTAAAAGATATCAATTTGAACATTTTGTAGCAACTCCAACTTCCGAGACAATTTGAACATGGATACAACTTCCTTAATTCAAATAACTGGTGACTCTAAGCATTTATACCATCAAAAGTAGTATTAGCATAAAAAAATATGGACCTCATAAGTCCTATAGTGATATCTTAAAGTATGATGTCCCAATTCCATATTATTCAGAAAAACACATAACAACTCATTAATGGTGTATGAGGTAGGACAACTCAAAAGTAAATGACAACTTTTTATGAGACTGCTTGGGAATAATAATTCTATCTTTGTTGAAGGCAGTCCAATCTTGGTCCTCTTCAAACTAGTTGCCATCAAGTTGTTGGCAGTGGAAGCAGAACCAAATGGTTCAATCTCCCATAGAGAAACCCTATTAAGGGTTGTGATTTTTAAGTCATCCTACATTACATACAAAGATGAGAAATAACTTATACCCAATATCAACTAAACTACTCTAAAAATAGTAGCTCATAACAAGTCATAATTAAAAGGTTAATAGGAAAAGAAGATATCAATAAAGAACAACCATAGTGCCTATTAAGAACAAATGCATTCAATATTTTGAATGAGCTGAAAACCTAATCCAAGTTATACTACAACTTATGCAATAATTTGAAAATAAAATATGTAAAAAATTATGTCACTAGCAGTATGGAAAGCTTTTTTAGATGGTGTACTGCTCAGTTCAATGGATATAGGGTTAGACCATACATGGTTGAGCTTGGTCCAATAACAATCAGGGTCTTTAATGGAATAGATGTTGTTGAAAGTTATCTTTACAGGATACTTCAGTGGGATGGAAAGTATGGTGCTAGATGATTTTGTTTAGATGGGAAAAATGTTGGGGGAAGGGGGGAGGGAGGAGTGGAGGATGCCTACAAGGCATTGTAACACTCAAGTCAATATGTGACAATGAGCTTTAGTAAAGATGGATCATATAATCATACATGGGTTTCAAGCCTCTGTTATATAGTAATTGGTTATCGTGCTTATGCAACCTTAGTATGACAACATTTAACTATATTGGTGGGCTGAAATAGCTTTTGCAGGCTATACCATTTGCAAGATGCTTATTTGTAGGTTATGCCTCTTAGGTGGAACCATGTGTCTGTCCCTTAACTGTTGATTATTAAGATAGCTGTAGAATTCTGAGTTGTTGTTATCATAGTTGCACACTTGCAGGATGACATCAATACGGGATAAACACTTTTTCTTAGTCTTTAAGTCTTGGTTATTGGGCCTCTTGAGCCATTTATGGGTTGGGCATTATATCTTGTGTGGTATAAGTCTAGGTCATGTAGTAACTTCAAGAATGTATTGAACTTATGACTTTTCCTTCTAGACATTACACTCACTTTAAACTAAATTTCGTTATTTGCTCAAGAATATTACGTTTCCGCATTACATCAGAAGAGGTCTGCTTTTACTATGATTTATTCACAACTAGTTTATCATTATATATAATAGAGGGTGTTGCTTTATAGGCTGAAAATGACCGATTACAAGATTGTTCCTTCTTTCATTAAATTATGTCGTGACCAGATGGTAGTAGCTCAGTTGGTAGCAAGGGAGATTAGTAAGTGAAAAAAAAGACCTCGGTTCAATCTCCACATGCCACCTTTGGGAGAGGTTTACATATATTCATCCTTAACCTGTCTCGCACTCTGGATTAGTTTTATAGCCAGCTCAAAGAGTCAAAGCTTGTAGGGATATTGGAAAAGTCAACTAGCCTCAAAGAGATAATTAGGATTTGATTAATTCTAAAAAAAAAACTTGTGCCCAATTAATTCAATAAGTGTACATCAATATATCTTTTTACATTGCTTTAATTTTCAGCGCATGACATGACATCTCATGCAAACTACAAAACATCATCAACAATTATGTAAATTATTTACTGATTACGTTTATTTTGAATTAAAAGTTAAGACTGAAAAGAGGTGAAGCCCTCCCTCAAGAGGTCAGGTGTAGTATAAATCAGCATGGTTTTTAGCCCATCTAGTATTATTCATTAAATGACGGATTTTTTTATTTATTATTTGAAAATAAATATGACTGATGTTAAATTCAAATCTGCCTATAATCGTAGATAGCAAGCAACCAAGTGGATCTAGACTGAATAGTAAATACATGAAATCCTAGAAAAAAGCCCATAGTACTTTTACCTGGGCTCTCTTCGAATGATAGAAAGGAAAAATATTACACATTGCGAGTCCAAAACTGTGAATATGGAGATTGGAGAGAGATTTGCATTTTTTTTACATAAGTTATGCAAACTAAATTAATTAATAATTAACGGGTTATTATTTGAAAAGAAAATAATGGTATAACACGAATTTATATATAAGGCAGTTTACATAAAATAATAATGTTTGATAAGAGAGGTTATATTTATAATATTTTTGTTTCCTTATAACCTCTTACATTAACATTTTTTATAATTAGATCGAAATCAAATTAACGGTTACAAAATAATATGAAGAGTTGTTAATTTAATTTCGATCTAATGATAATAAAAATATTTATAAATAATTAAAGAATTTTTTCTTAAATATAACTTTCTTCATGTTGAATTAGTTTAGTTCACACAATTTATATAACAAAGTCAAAGTAAAAATTTCTCTCCCCCACATGGGACAAGCACATTTCCAACTTCATCCTTCCTACCACTCTTCTTGCTCTTCTTATTTACCATGAGCATCTTTGTTTGGGCTTATAAAAAAAGCAACTTTTATCTCTTCTTTATTTTAGAAGTATTTTTTATAAAAGTTAAAGTTATTTATATTTTTATAAAAATATTTAATTTTTGAAAAAAATATTTGACTTTTGACTTCTGCTTTATTCATCCAAACGGGCCGTAATTTATAAGGGACTTCCTAGAAAGTGGCAAGTTTCACATAAGGGAAAATAACACAACACATCCACTCTGTAGATAATGTATAATTAATAACAGGGTTTTATAATTCTCATTTAACATGAGAATTACAATTTTCTTACACATCTTTTGATTTTCGTGCTAATATGGGTCTTACATATAATTTTTTCTAACACATGAATCCCACATGCTTTTTATCTCTACAACATGAGATTTCAATTCTCCTCTAAGAATTATAAAACCCTTAATAATAATAATGTATGATTAGACATACCTTGCAAGTAAGATATGTGATTACGCGCAAAGTCAGAAATTTAGAATTTTGAATCTTATACTTTTTTTTCCAATTCTTGAAGTAAAGTCACAAGAAATTTTTTTATAATCCCAACCTCTGACTCAATGTGAACATCTTGCGTACAAATTTTTTTATTTCCTAAATAAAAACTCACCTGACATTGCAAGTAAATGGGAACCTTGAACGGGAAGGAAGCAGGGTAGACACGCAACTTCATATTACTCACAAAATCAGATACAGATGGCAAATTAAAAACTTGCAAAAAAAACCAAGAAGCTAAAAACCAACATCTAGTTTTTGGAGAAAAGACTGGTCCTAACCACTGCCATAATGACTCAGCATCTAGTTTTGGACTGACGATAAAAACCACGTTATACACGACTATTAGACTGGTAAAAGTATGCACATTTCGTGTATCCTTTTTCCCATTATGTTCAACTTATTAATAAGGATTATATTTATTTCATTTTATATTAGGGAAGCATTTGATAGAGGATATTTTTTTTACAGGGGAAACATAATTAATGGAGAAATGATAGGAAAGTGAGTTTGATGGAATAGTTTAAAAAAAGATGTTTGGTTCACCGAAATATTACTAAAAAAATTTATGTAAATTTGTAAAGTCTATATTTAATTGAATGTAAAATATTGATGAAAAATTAGTTGAAGTGAGCAAAACACCCCCTATTATCAATATTTTTTAAACAAACCACTACTTAAAAATGAGAGTCCAACATCAATAACTTAGTTTCATTAAAGACTACTTCCCCATCTATTCTAAAATACCACATCCAAAGTGGTATTTGTGAATAGTTAGTTTGAGCAAAAAAAATAACACAAATCTAATTGCCTAGGCTTCCTATTTAGGTGATCTTTTCTTTTTTTTTTCAAAACTTGAACCAAACATGATCTTTTTCAATACCTACTCATATTTCTCTCCATCAAACTCAAATGAAAACCTATACCAAACATATTTTACAGAAACAATTTTTCTACACATAAAAAAAAAGTTTATCCCACCACTCTTTTTTTTCTCTCCTCATATCTATAAATCTCACTGATAATTTTATTTCTACTTAGATAACTATTTTCTTACAATATAAAAAAAGTATTTGCCAGTCAATAAACATGTATTGACCAGGTAAGACCCACAGAAAAGGACTATTATTGATAGCAGTACGTAGCTACCACGGATTATCAATTAAGGGCATACTTGCAATATAAGGTTCTGTCTGAGATGTTGAAACTATAATTTAAAGGTATCATCCTCTTGCTTTTTCCCTTTGCAAAGCCATTTCGTCAAGTTATGGCATGGGAAGAACCATTAGGTGGCAATTACTTGTTGCTGAAGCCAGAAGAAGCAAGTCTTGTGGATCTAGGGCGCCTCCTGTTTTTGTCTAACTTAAACAACAGAAGATTCATTCAGTGCCCAGAAGGACTCGAGAAAAGAGAATTTGGGCAAAGATGGCTCCTCTTCATCTCTGTTGTGGCGCAGATTGTCTTCCTTATCTCAAGAAACTCAATGAAAAGGGTAGGGGACATGTTGGAGTTGTGGCTCAATCGTCTATCAAGTAATGGAGGGTTAATTGGGCTCTTGCTGAACATTTTAAAAGGTTCATTCAATCATTTCTTTTGCCTTCTCTCTCTCTCTTTTAGTGATCCATATCATCACTATCATTTTGATAGTCTTTTCTTGTACGAAGTATCTATCAGAAAATAATATAAATCATTAAAAAGGTTATCATCCAACACTTTAAGATTTTGGGTTGAAGTGGTTCTTTACATAGTATCAGAGCTTGAGTGACTACAAAATCACAAGTTCGATCCTCACCGCTTCCACTTTAAAATGAAATTAAAATAAAAAGTACAAAAAGTAAACAAAAAATTGCTCTTGTGCAATATATACGCTTCTAGCCCAATAAACTTTGTCTGAGGGGGTGTGTTAGAGAATAATATAAATCAATAAAAAGACTCTCACCCAACACCTTAAAATTTTGAGTTGAAGTAGTTCTTTACGGTATGCACAAGTAAATTAATGATTTTATCGAGTTTGAGACTGGGATGTGGTGTATCCGGTGCAGGAAAGATGATAACTCCGAAAAGATCATCGGCGAAGTTCATGTCCGTGGTGGGCAACCTTGACACACGAGTTGATTTGGACAAGAGTATTAAACGGGAGGATGTCAAGTACAAAGGATTGCTGTCTATGATGTCTTCCAAATTATCGTACGAGAATGAAGAATTCATTGGTAATGCAGTCAGAAATCATTGGGACGTAAGTTCTATATATAATTATATATGTATTTTTTGCTTCCAATGGAATTATTAGATGAAAGATCTTATAGTATAATATGAGTACATAATAATATTTGTTATTTTGTTGAGTTTAATGATCGATTCGGTTTTTTTTTTTTGGTGTTATAATATGATTGCAGATGGATTTTTTGGGGTTACACAGCTTCTGGAATGGTAAGTAATGAAAAAGCATCCTTTGTCAGTTTTTCTTTTAGATTCGAAAATGTATAGATATGTCAATAATCTTTTCAGTATCACTAGAATATTATTTTGCTTAGTTGATTTTTCAGAAATTAAACTAGCATTATCAAAATGGCATCCATCACATGAAGAAAGAACAGGAAACACATGTGTTGCATAAATTACTATACATCGTGACATGTCAATTCCTGTGGATCTGGGTCCTATCTCATGTAAAATAAATATGAATGATTACGTGAAAAATCATAATCATATAAAGGTGGATCAATGGTAGTAAAAAAAGAAAAACCTCAAAAAAAATATATATATATATTGAAATATGTAGTTAAGAAATCAAAACCGTTGATTTATCTTTATATGGTTGTGATTTTTTCACATAACCATATGTCATATTTTTTTTTTCATATGAGAAGATCCATTTCCGGATAAGATCCTATAGTGGGATTAAGATTCTCTGTGTTCTTTCTTAAACTGCATAGGAATTTTTTATTTTTTTTTGGGTAGATAATTGCATAGGATCTTATCTCTTAAAATTGTTTATTTTTAATACTAAAATATTAAAGTACAATTAGGCTGAGAAATTGTTAATCATTTAACAACAAAGATGGTGTAGTTGTTTAAAACTCTAAAGGATCTGTAATACTATAATCACCTTAATTAAAAGTAAAGAAATACTTTTTAAGGTTTAAATTCTGCTAAATTGCTTATACTATTATATACTTGTATTATGGGACAATTCATAAGTAAAAAGATTTTATACAGAAATTAATTAATTATTTTTTTTTACAATCAAAGTTAAAATAAATTTGTAAAAAAAAAGGACGACAATCAAAATAATAAATATTTTTAAATAAATTATTTAAAGGAAGAGGTTATATTTACAATCATTTTTTTTCTTGCAACCACTTTTATAGTTGTTGAATCAAAATTAAATCAATGGCTCACACTCTATCACTTTATAACTATTGATTTGATTTTAATCCAATAACCATAAAAATTATTATAAGAGATTGTAAAGAAAAAATGCTTGTAAGTATAATTCACATCCCTCTTATTTAAATATTACGTTTCAGAAAAAAAAATTGCATGTTTGAGTCTATCACGTGTTACGTGGGTAGTTCTCTGCGGTAAGAAATAAAAGATTTTTTTATGTATCCAAAAAAAAAAAAAAAAACAGATTTTTTTGTGTTTCTCCTCTCCTTTTGTGCTAGTTTTTGAACCTACTTCTATGTGGTTAAAAAGCAAGCTCCTGCTTACCAAAAAAAAAAAAAAAGCAAGCTCCTAACCAACAAGCTACCCGTGAAACCAGCTAAAATAAAAGATTTTAAACCCACTGCATGCGGTGCGTGACAAACTTAACGTGCAAGAACGGACTCCACCCGTGGATCTTAAAATGACATTTTCACAAAATATTTTTAAAACGTTGCATTTGAATAATTTAAGGAGAATATATTTTGTATGTTACATGAGACAAAATTATTTCATAGACAAACAACAAATAAATAGGACCCACAAATTATTTTATTCACTCTTCTTCTTAGTGTATTTGTGTGTATTGCATAAAATATATGAGACAATTTTTTCTAATATATAATATGAGAAAAATAATTCTTAATAATTTAATTATAAAAATATGTCAGTTTTTTCTTTATCCCAATATTAAGTAAGGGTTATGTTTATCTCATTTTACATGAAATAAATAATTTTTCTACATCCACAAAAAAAGGTTAAGTTCCACTATTTTTTTTTTTTCTCTTTTCTCTTATCTATGGGTCTCACTTATAATTTATTTTTACAATATAAAATAACTTTTTTCCTACGAGATAAGAAAAGTATTTACCAATAACTATTAACTAATAGGAGAAAAATGACTCGGGAAGTGATTGCTTCGTGGAATCCGCATCCCAATCTTAAGTAATAGGAGAAAGTTGACTCGGGAAGTCATTGCTTCGTGGTATACCACTTCCATTGATTGGTCACATTTTGATTGTCACCAAACCTTTGATTTGATGGAAATGGTTCATATTCTCTGCACAGGCTCTTAAATGTGCATGTCTCATTTTACATGTTTTTTTTTTCTCCCACAATCATTCATTTTATTTTTCTTTTTTTGTCACATTTTTTCCATGACATTGTGTCTTTTTTCAAGTTTCGGACTATTTCTGTTTTTATTCTTTAAAGTAACTGTGAACAGTCATTACCCAAATTCAAAGTTCTTTTCACAATCTTGCTGAAAAAGCTAGGATTTTGCTAAAAAGTTGTGATTTCAAAGTCATTTTTGTGAATTATGATCACCAAAACTACAGTAAGAAAAATGCTGAACTTTAATTAGTTGCCCGGATTGATTCTTACCACGGTATTATATTTGCTAATAATTTAATAAAAGACTAAAGAGAGAAAAAAATCGGAAAGTTTCGTTAATAAATTGTGATCATATTACAATTTTTTTTTTATATTTTCATCCGAATGTAAAATGATAAAACAGCTTGCTTTTTATTTTATTTTTTAGATTTATATCACTCTGATCAGCTAAAACAAATTGGAAGCACCATTGACTTAGGTTTGTTAGGTTTTTTTTAATTAAAAAAATAGTTGTTTCACTCAACAGTTATTATTTTCTCACTATTTAATTTAATGTATTCTTTTATCATCATTGATTTATATTGTGATATTTGAGATTTTCTCACATGACTTTATACCATTCTCATATCAATATAAATTATTGCAAATAAATAATATATGTATTTACACATGATTTATGCACTATACTAATTCTTTTCATAAGAATAATATAAAGTTAAAGAAAAAATAATACTACAAAAGTATGTATGCTAAGTAGAAACTTGGGGACAAAATTAAGCAAATACAAGAAACATTAAGAGGTAGTTTTCTCCTGCCCTTTAACTCCCCTCCCTCTTGCTTAAAGGTTGTTCGACCTGATTGATTATACCTTTCAGTTCTTTCGGGTGCAACTTTCTTTTACATTTTTAAATTTAATTTTGACTCTTTGTTTTATGATACACTTCTGACACTGGCGAAATAGCTGTCAATTTTTTTTTTTATAACATAATAGCTGTCAATTATTTGAATTATAGGGATGAATGAATATTCCTATATAGTACGAATGAATATATATATATATATATATATATATATATATATATATATATCATTTAAAATAAGAACAGAGTTATATTTACAAAAATTTTGTTTACAAACTATACTATGTACTATGGGTAATATATATTACTTGAGTATATACTATTTATACTATATAGTGTAGTTTGTAATAGTTTATAAACAAAAAATTTGTAAATACAATTTATCCCTTAAAATAAAATTGTGTTTAGCAGGAAAAAAAAATTATAACAGAAGTAGATGATTTTTGTCTAGTGAATAGTCTCTTACCTTTTTTCTTTTTTTCGGAATGGCAACTCGCTTATACTTTCTTAAGATACCCATAACATATTTAGGTGGTGTTTGGTTAGATGATTTTTGTCTAGTGAATAGTCTCTTACCTTTTTTCTTTTTTTCGGAATGGCAACTCGCTTATACTTTCTTAAGATACCCCTAACATATTTAGGTGGTGTTTGGTTGGGAGCTTTTCAGCGGATATCTATCTTTCTGAGTATGACTTTTAGAAACACCATGTTTGTTTCAACGTTTTTCACCAAAAACCCATCTATCCAATTTGTCTGGATTTATAAGAAACATAGATATCCGCACTGTTTAGAAACCCAATTTGAAGGTGAAATTTTTCGGAAAACCGGTTATCTGACTTTTAATGCACTGTTGATTTCATGAAGCTACTTAATTTTCCCAGTAAAGTTTTTCCCCACCAAACAACTTTTTTTTACATTTTTTTACCTATCTCACTTTATCTATCTTTCCAATCATTTCTCTATCTATCTCATTTTCCTACTATTTCAAAAAAATTTCCTAAACCAAACGCCCCCTTAAAAACTTCTTTCATATACAGTAGTTGGAATATCACCAATTGGTTCCATATAGCCCTATATAGCCTTGGCAAAAATGAGCCAACCGATCCGGTTGGCTCGTAATCCGGCTAAAATGAGCCGGGTTAGGTTAGGAAAAATGAGTTAGTAACTCGTTTCAGCTCGAAAAAAACTGAACCAACCCACAAGTCAAACGGGTAATTGGCTCGCGGGTTATGTTTTTTTTTTAAATATAAAAATATAAAATTAATGAAGGTAAAGTGGAAAGCTAAAACCTAAAATTTCAATTTCAAAGACACAAACAAAAATACCCTGCAGCTGTCAATAAGTCCAAAACTGTGCATTAAGGACCTTTTTTATAGTATGTGTAACAGTGTGAATGTGATGCCAACTGCCAATAAGTTCAAGTCCAAATGCAAAATTTTCTATGGTTTATCTGTATAATGTCTTTGTATTGAATGAATTAATAATTTAGGGAAAAAAAATTAGAAGTTATAGCATCAATGGAATTTTATTTTATTTTTTCATTTTTTTGAGCCAACCCTAACCCAACTCGGGTCGGGTTGGGTTGAGTTTTCTGACTCGTTTATTTTTTGAGCCAACCCTAAATCGGCTCGGCTCGTTTTTTTCGAGTTGAACGCGGGTTGGGTCGGGTTGAGTCGGGTTGGCCCGTTTTGCCAACCCTAGCCCTATACATGTATGATATTTTATTTTATTTGATATCAATATACATGTCACATATTTTGTATATTAAGTGGAAAAACAAAGAAATTCATGCAAAAATAAGCTTCATAAGAAATATCATTTTACTATTGAACTTTTTATTTTATTTGTCCCCTGTATTGGGATAAGCGTTTTGTTAGAATCGTGTTTATCTTTTGCTTCAATGGAATTGGTAGCATTTTTTGACAGTCCAAATAATGGCATGCATGCAGATTACCAAGAACTCTGGTCCACACGAGCTATAATAGTACAAGATACCAAGTCTGAACCCAACTTGATTGTGGTTGCATTTAGGGGTACTGAGCCATTTGATGCGAACCAATGGATAACAGATGTGGATATCTCATGGTATGGCCTACCCAAAGTGGGTAAGATACATAGTGGGTTCATGAAAGCTTTAGGTCTGCAGAAGAACAATGGATGGCCCAAAGAGATAAAGCAAAGCACCCAACATCCTTATGCTTATTACACAATCAGAGAGAAACTGAAAGCAATGTTGGAGGCAAAAGAGGATGCAAAATTTATATTGACAGGGCACAGCTTAGGAGGAGCCTTGGCCATTCTGTTTGTTGCAGTGCTTGCATTGCATAAAGAGGAATGGTTGTTGGACAAGTTAGAAGGGGTTTATACATTTGGGCAGCCAAGAGTAGGAGATCAGCAGTTTGGGGAGTTCATGAAAGACAAGTTGAAAAAGTATGAAGTTAGATATATGAGGTATGTTTACTGCAATGACATGGTGCCTAGGATCCCTTATGTTGACAAAAACTACTTCTTTAAGCACTTTGGTTCTTGCCTCTACTTCAACAGTTTGTACTATGGGCAGGTATGAAATTTGAATAAGAAATATGATTTCGCTTTTCCAACTTAAATGTTCAAATGTTATGTGTTCCATTTTTCTCTATACAACTAAATAATTTTTTTAGTTATTGAATTACAGGTTCTAGGGGAGGAGCCAAACAAGAATTATTTCTCTTTGTTTTGGGTCATACCTAAGATCTTAAATGCAGTTTGGGAGCTTATTAGAGGTTTCCTTATTCCAATCTTTAGAGGTAAAGAATATAAAGAGAGTTGGTTCATGACGATGTGCAGGTTCGTTGGATTGGTAATTCCAGGACTATCAGCTCATCTTCCTCCAGATTATGTCAACCTTACCCAATTAGGATCGTTACCCGAAGTTCAGGAGCTTCAGAGTCCACAAGATTTCAAAGCCAACTAATGTGGACGCTTGCGCAACAACACTGTTCCTCCCTTTTCCCTTTTCTTTTTTTAGGTTGAAATGTTCATTTGGTTGACCTTTTTGGTTTAGTTCGGTGTATTATTGATTTAGAACTCAAGATATCCCACTACAAATAACCAATGGCATACATTTGATATCACATGTTCATTGTACTGTTTCCTAGGGAAAGTATTGAAGGAGTTTACATGAATAATAAAAACATTTTTTAAATAGTTATTTTTGTTAATTAATAGTTTTGTAATTTTCAAAATAAAAATACTCAGCAAAAAATAAGAAATGTCATATGTCCAACGTAGAAAAAAAACCACGGTTTCTAAAAATAATTCTCAATTACAAGTAGAACCTATTTTATTATTTGACATCTATTTAGTTGAACTTTAAATCATAAATTTGATTATGTTAATTATTATTAGATAATTGTTCTTCTATATTGTCTACTTCGATAATAGTTATTGTATTCAACACAACTTAACTCTAAACTCCAAAGTACAAGTCTCCAATTATTTAGAGGTGGCTGCAGTAGTCTTTTCCTTGAAGATTTGGTGATATTGCTTATATGGAGAGACTTGTGAGGTTTAAATACATTTTCGAGCAAAGAAATCTTAACTTAAGGTAATCGGTGGATAGATCTATTAAAGGAATGCAATTGCACTATCCTATACCATTATGGGAAGGCTAATGTGGTAAAAAATTCTTTGAGTAGAAAATCTTTGGGTAGTCTAACTCATATAGTTAAAGTAGGAAGGATTCACGGGTTAGAAGGGCAATCAGTGAAATTTGAGATTGGGGAGTCAAACTCGTTTGTTGCTCATGTTTGAATCCAATCTTCCTTAGTGGATGTGATTAAGAAATCTCAGGGAGAAGACTTATCTTTGTGCAAGAGCATAACACAAATGAAGGATGAGGAAGCATCATAATTTTTTATTAGGTCAGAAGGGGTTGAAGTTCAGTGATAGGTTGTGTGTTCCTGGCATTAGGGAACTGCAAGAGAACTCTTCTTGAAGAATCTGATCATTTTGCTTACACAATTCATCCTAGTGCAACCAAAATGTATCTAGACTTGAAACAATTGTATTAATGGAGTGGAATGAAGAAAGGTGTGATAGACTTTGTTTTCCGATGTTTAGTATGTCGATAAATGAAGGCTGAAAATCAGAGACCAGCAAGATTATTTTAATAGATTGAGATTCTAAAATAAAAGTGAGAAATGATCACTATGAATTTTTTCACTAGATTATCTCGTTCACCAAAATGTTATGACTCCATTTGAATGATAGTTGATAGGTTAACTAAATTTGCACATTTTCTTCTCGTCAAAATCACATTTGGAATAACTTGAAATGCCTAATTATACATAGACAAGATTGTTAGATTACATGGTGTTCCTATTTTCATAATTTTTTATCTTGGTCTCCAATTCACTTCACAATCTTGGAGAGCACTTCAACAAGCTTTGGGAACATGATTGAATCTTAGCAAAACCTGAAAAGAAAAGATAGCTAAACAATCACACAAGAGAGGGGTTGAATTGTGTGTTACTTCTAATTCAAGAAATAATTCAAAATTCAATCATTTTTCATACAACTTCAACCAATCCAAAATTTACTGATCATAAACTTTTTTCCCAATACTAAACAAAATTAAAACAATTCTAATATCATCAATTCAGAGGCAATTGCAGCGGATTCAAAATTGAAAGAAAAAATATATGAAAATCAATGTTTATGTCAACCCTTTTCAAGAAATCATGCAAGAACAAATTAGAACAAAAAAGTAATGATCCCCAACCCTTATACAGATTCTATATAACACATACAAAGAATAAAAAACGAAATCAATTGATAGAAATCAAAAGATATAGGGTTTAGGAAGAATCACACAGCGATATATCCGGGTTTACTCTCTAACCACTTGAGAGCTATATCCATACTTAGGGATGTGCATGGAGCGGTTCGGTTCGGGTTTTTTCAAAAATCAAACCGAACTGGTGTTAAATGGTTTGGTTTTCAAACCGAACCAGTTTTATATTTTAAAAACCGATTTTAATTTTTTCAAACCGGTTCCAAAACCAATTTATGGATTATAACCGGTTTTGATTGAAAATCGATTTTATAACAAATTTAAAACTGGTTTTTGTTGAGTTGTGTTATCTTTTAAAAATAAAATAAAAACCACAGCTTTGAATTTATCCTTGCGGGCATCATACCAGTCGTCCACAATGGGGATCCACAAAATCTTGAAATCTTTTTTCTTTAAACCTTTCACTTCTTTTGGTTCTTCTTGCAATCTGTCATAGATTGAATTTAAAAGCAAAATCTCATCGTCAATGCCGTCCAGGCTCGAAATAAATACTAACACATGTTTCTGCCTGAACACTTCAATACCCTGTTTGGCTATTTGAGACAAAATTTAAAAAAATAAAATTAAAAGTCATTGAACTCTTTCTAATTTGGAGATACCAAATATGAGACAAGTTGATGCATTAAGCAAAACTTACCGTTTTAACTTGGTTGGTGCCTTCATATATTCGGGGATTCTGAGTTCCATTTTGATAGATCAGAGCCTTTAAACAATCTACAATATCTTTAGGCTTGTCAAAGATTTTCATGCGGATCTTGTAATCATTTACACAACCTGCACCACGTAGAGATTGTTGAATAAATAAACTTGATTTAGTTTTTGGTCTATTGGGCTTAAGTATACATTTAGTCCAACATCTAGAATTATACTTTAGGAGTTAGTTTAGTTCAAGATCTAGAAATTTTATTCTAGTCAATTCTATAAAAGTTCTAGAGGGTAGTTGCACCTACCACAATTAATATTTGTATTAGGCTAGTATAGAAAAATCTAGAATTATTTGGAGCCATTGTTTTGTGGAGGTGCCACTAGTATAAATAGGGGTCATCTCCATTATTTTGTATTAAGCCAAAAAAAAAAGAGTTGTGTAGTAATAAAAGTGTTCTCTTCCTCCATATCTTTCTATATAACCTTTACTTTTCTCAAATATTCTCCTCCCAACAGAGATAAGCTCTTAGTATAGAATTTGCGTTCCAAACTTCAAAGAATTGATGGAACATGAAGCAATTAATTCATTAACCTATTTGCTCTTTGCAATTTTTTAGATTATTTGTAATCTTGAACGATCACGTAGCTTTACAAGAGAGTTAATGACAAAAATTTGACGAGGTGTTGAAGAGGTGAGATTTGGGAATGTGGGAGCTAGGATTAGAAATTAAAATATTAAATAGGGTTAAAACGTAAAAACAAAAAATGACTAAAGAAAAAGAAATGGATATGATTTGGTTATCCAGTTTATCCAAACCATTTGATAAATGGATAACCAAACCACATGTAAAACGTGGATATATTTTTTAACCGGTTTAAAAAACAATAATTTTTTAATTTGGTTTGGTTCAGTTTTTAATTTGGTTTGGAGCAATTGGACATTTTGCACATTCTTACTCGTGCTAGTATATAATTATAATATGAAATTTTTTTTTTTTTCTCTTTTCATTCACATCAACTGACGTGAAAAGTGAAAAAAAAAAAAAAACTTTTCATATTATAACTATATATTACCAGGAATATATAGAGTAAAAAATTAAAAGGAAATCTTTTAAATGTACAGACATTAAACCCCTCAAGAAATCCTGATACAAATAAGAAATGGCATACACCCATTTTTCAGGTCCGCTGATCCTCGTCGTATTCTCGTGCAAATAAAATAGTAGTTGTTGGCATAATTGCATATCTCTCACGAAAATATGTATGAAGCAAAATTAGCAAGAGAATGGAAATAAGAAATTACTATAAATCAAACTAAGAACGATGAATAAATTGAAGCATGGGCAATTTTGACAGGGAAAGGCTAAATTGCAATGATTTTTGGTTAATTCATCGTTCTACTATAGATAATAGTTTATATTTGAACAGCAAACTCTCGTGTAACGAGATAAGAAAAAAAAATACACAAAGCTTGATTATTTCTAAAATTTAGCCTACGTACATAAATATATTATTTATCATTGAATCCGAACTCCCAAGGGTGAGGGCACTAGGGGTTTAGATTTTGTCAGATCGGAAGGTACTGGTATTTCATGCATTGCAAAACCGCTGTGACACCAATTTAGTGTCAACATAGTAAGCTGCTCTCTCTTTTATCCATCTTTCATTCATTAACATGTGGCACACTTAAATCCTTCTGAAATGTGAAACCTGGTCAGAAATGCAATCATCCTTTTATTAAAATGCACAAGAATCAACAAGGACGTAACTAGTGCAAGTTTCCACGGTAAGTAGATAAGGAAATAATAAACTTCAGCCTATCAAAAGTCATGGAGAAGCATAGAAGGAAACAAGATCACGCATCTGTTTTAAAAGCAGTCAAATTAATACCCGAAGATGTTTCCTGCATAACTAGCATATGAAGCCCTTTCATTTAACAGAGAACTTAGCTACATTTGACAAAAACCCCAACTTTGGAAATTCCAAATTAAGTAGACAATTGGTAATGAAGATTGTGTTGCTTTAAATAATTTTGAAACCAAATTAATCAAAGGCTTGCAAAATATTGATTTCTGAACTAGGACAAGGTATAAAAAGAAAATTACCCAGCTTCACTTGAACAGAAAAGAATGCTGGAGAAGCTTTAAAAGGCATGACAGGTGAAACAACCACTCAAAGAACCCATCTGGCTGGTTCCACGAAATGATATTGCCTTGTGAGAAGTTCTGGCAACTTGATGAGCCTGGTTGGCTGAAACTGAATTTCTCATTTCCTGAGCTTTTTTCTGAGCAAATCTCAGCTTGTTCATAATCTTATCCATAGAGGATGCTCTCTTCTTTTCCAACTTCATCTGAGATATCAAAAATAAAAAAGAGATCATGATCCTTTTTTTTTGTCCTTCCTCTCTAATTCTCCTTTATTTTTTGTAATAGAAAGGATCCCTTAATGTATGTGTGCCGTGAAATGAATTAACAAAAATATGATCCATATAATTCTTGATCTGTGCATAATGAAGAAAAAAAATTATCTTTGACATACAACATACACAGAGGCTTTCTTTAAGACATCCTAATCCTATCGGCTATCAGACAGCCAACAATGAGTAGCTTCAATCCTTGACTACAACAAAGTCAATACTTGTTCACCGTTTCAAGACAATGGATTTGTGATCAACGATAAGAAAACTACTTTACTATCCCAATAGTAAAAGCAAGTCATTAGGCAGAAATACAGCTAACACAGCATAACCAATATTTAACTTATGGAAAAGAAGGAAATAATTCAGCACCATGAATTAAAGAAAATAAGAGAGAATTCCAGAAAGAAACTTCTAATAATGTTAACCATGAAAATAACAACTTGGATGATCATTTTAGCCAATATATTATCATACATAAAATTACATCAAGTTGTTATTTTTTCATTTATAGTAAGGAATTTCTTATTGGAATTCTCCTAAGAAAGAAAACACTAGGAATTAACCTCTAGTTTTCGAATTGCTGCCTCAGCTTTTGCCTTTTGCAAGTTCTCCCATGCAGTGATTTTGGCTTCCTCTCTTTTAGCCCTGGACAAATACAAATTGCTGGAATTTTAGAAACAATGTAAAGTTAGTGCAAAGATTTCTTAGTAAATTATGAGTTTTCTCAGGGATAAAATTGTCAGATCAAATAATATAAAAAAAAAATCTATTTTCTAGTTTGAATTGGATAAGGATGGTCAATTTAGCAATAAAGAGAGATTATTGACAACTCCTGCACACTTAGCATTTTAATTAAATCATCTCGAGGCCAGTAACATAGCTAATTTTGTAAATCCATCACCATAAATTCCACGAACTCCAATTGTTGTGGTACGACCATGAAAGATAATTTCTAGGTAACTCGTAACATTTGGATAAGAGCAGAGTTAAAAAAAGGTCGATTTTTATATCAAAAAAAAAAAAAAGGTCGATTTTAAAGGGAAAATTTCACTACCTAACAGAAAATTACGTAAACCCATTAGTTTCAGTTTAAAGTTGTCCTCTCCTATATTTACCAGATAAATTGAACAAAATTGATATAATACTAAGGTAGACATACTTTGAAACCGTCTTTGACCTTTCAGAAATTTCCCAAGACGAAGATCGAGTGCTTGTTTCTTTCTTTTTCCAGCTGTCAACATTTTCTAAGCCTCTACCAGAGAATAGGGCCTTGTGTTTCTTGGACCATCTTGTCATGGTTACACGTTCATCTACCTGCACATCCCTGATATCCATTTTAGAGAAAGAGGCACTCAGCAATTCTGTGACAGGCAGGGTAGGTGGGGTGGAAGCAGAGAAAGAAGGCCTCATATTTGGAGAGGAGCATGAGCTACCCTCTGGGCTCATCTGGGTTGCCATGTCCCTCCTGGAAACAGCAGGGGATACATTGGTGCCCGCATCTTTGAAACCATCAAACTTCTCTGTAAGTTAGAACCAACATAAAAAAATAATAACAATAATAAATAAATAAAAATGAAAAGATGAAATGAAACAAAATAAAAAATGCTATATCATACGCACAGAAAGTATAGTTTCAAAATCAAATAAGACCATAATGTCATCTATACTTGTAATTAGTAATGACATCAAGCATGAAATTGTCAACTATCAACATATCATCACTAGTGTCCAAAGACTTCATTTGTTCCATCCACATCATCTTGCAAAAACAGTCAATACAGAATCACGCAGTACAAGGAGTTCACAGAAGATAGAGGATTAACTGAAAGTCAGGAAATTAAAATGCATTTAATCCTTTTGGGTCACCCTTGAAACATGTGATCTGCCATTACAGAGTACGCATAAACATGTCAACATCATAATTCATCATAATTCACCTTTGGCAGGCATTGGTGACTGACTCTGCATCTGTGAGCATCCATGGACACTAACTGAGCGGGCCATCCAAGGATCTGTTCTTGTCGGAAGCAACCCATCATGGCCACCGGAACTGATTGTTAATCCATCAGCTGAGATATTAACAGCAGCAGAAAACGGAGAAGCTGCCATAAAATTCCCTGCATTCCCCCCATCAAACAATGGCCCTGCTGGGGAATACAACGAATAATAAGCAACAGCAGGGGGGCCAAGTGGACCACTCTTTGACTTTGGCCTCCTCTGTGGTGGTGGAAGTGAGGCCTTCCCAGTGGCATCGCCTGATACAGGACTGAGAATCCACCTCTCAGCATCTTCCCATTTAGAAGGCAACGTTCTCCCATTGTTTAAAGGCAACAGAGCCGCACCAACCTGCTTGCGTGCAGCATTTGTATGCAAAGGAACGCGCTCAGAGCTCCAACCCTTTTGCATTGCAACACCAGCTTGGCGATAATTCGGCGTTCCAGGACTCGGGAAAGTTCCAGAGCCAGAGCCAGAACCAGAACCGGACCTTCGAGTCGAAATGTTGCTCTTCTTCATTACTCCTAAGCGAGGAGAAGAAACAGTGGCAATGGCATTGTTCAGATCTAACGAAGCAGGCCTTCGCCTATCATGCTTCTTGAACAAGGCCTCAGATCTTGATCTTGATCTCCGATCCTGACATTCTTCGATGGAAAACAAACTCAAAAAAATAAATAAAAATAAAAGTAAAAATAAAACTCGAATTGCAAATTTATAAATTTAGTAGGTACCTTTGAGAGCTAGAGAGAAAGAGCTTCTTGCTGAATCAAATTCCAAGAGTTGATTCCCGTCTTCAGTGTCACCATCACTGTCTTCCTTTTGAACTGCGATGTGGATAGTGCAACAGAGTTCACTTTTTCTTTGTTTTTTCAAATAAAACAAAAAAAAAGTGGAAGTGAAGTGCATGTTAATATTAAACATAACGCACCTTTTGCTTTTTCTCCCTTCCCGGAGAAACGACTTTGGTGCTGCTTCTTGTGTGCTGCATCTGCATGTTGTTGCTTGTTCGGATCCAGATCCGGATCTGGATCTGGACCGCTCCAGCTCTCGCTCGGAGCAAAATCACCCTCCTGCTCATGCCCTGCCAATTGCTGCAATCGAAACAGAACCACGAGATCCTCTCATCATTTTCATCGTGTCAGAACTCAGAAACTCAATTTCATTTTTCCAAAATTCCAATTATTACACAATGATTCAGATGCAGAAAGAGTTACGCATTAAAGTTGCATGTACCAGTGAGATTTCGGAGGCTAAAGAGTCATGATCGTGAGCGTCCGATGCAAAGGAACAGCGATCGACGCTAGCTGAAGCAGAGGAGAAGAGACTCAAGTTGGATTCAAGAGTGAAGATGACAGAGTCAGGGCTGGTATCGCCGCCGCCACCGCCACCTCTTCTTAAACCCGCACGCCTCCACGACCTCCGTTCCTGAAACCCTAACTCCCGCATTCTCAACTAACATTGAATCGCATTCGCATTCGCATTTGCATTTGCATTTGCATTTAGCAGAGAGAAAAACAACAGCCACACACTTACTCTTACACACACAGAGAGAGTGAGAGATACATTAAATATGGCGGGTACTACTATTTAGTAATAAGAAGAGCAACGCGTATCGTGATTTTAAAACTTTTAACATGTCATTGTCGTTTTGACTCAAATAATATGTGTCTCTATGTCTATGCTAATCTAAGCTAAAGCAACCATTTTTCAATGATAATGACCTGTGGCAACGGAATACGTTCTATTTCTACATGAACGTGATAGAGTGAGTCATAGTCTATTGGTTAGACTCCTAGGCGTGTCTAATAGACATACAAAGAGACAAATATTTAAGACTCGTTTGTGGGATAAAATAAGGGTAGGATATGATATAGAGTTTATAAGTCAATATCATGTTCTATGTTTGATTAGCACCTGATTAGCAATATAATAAGACTATGTAGAAGGATAAAGGAGAAAAAATAATAATATAATGCAATAAATATAAATATATTAAATAGCGTATGGATATATTAGGTAGCGTGGAGATATATTGAATATCCAATATTGATATCTCATCCTCTTGAATCCTATTCTAGTTCTTCCATAGAATAAGAAATCATGTATTGGATAGGATAAGCTAATCATATCCTATTGACCCACCAAACAAGAGATAAAAGTAAGATATGATAACTTATTTTATCCTATCTTTTTATCAGGTGCTCCAAACATGTCCTTATTGTTGTGAAGGTGGAGAAAAACTCTCCATTTACTAAAATAAAAAAAATAGAATTTAAAAAGAAATATAAAAAAATTACGGATTAAAAAAAAATTCTCCTTTTGTTAGGAAAAAAGCACCGAATTCAATGATCCGGTGGCCTGAAGTTTTTCCGGTGAAGGTGACTTTACGTGTGTCCTTTGAGGGGAATTTTTATGTGCTTTGTTTTCATTTTTGTTAATCAAAGTGCGGTCTGTGGGGTATATGATCCTGATTACTCTTGACCGTGGAATTTGACTGCGTATGAAATAACCATAAGGTACATCTCTCTTTTGGTTCGGTGCCTCTCGGAACTCGGAAGGGGTGAATTATGGAGGGTACTATTGTCTTTTGATATCTAAATTAGAGGACTAATAGTATGATAATGATGATTATGACAGGCATGCAGTTTACCGTTATGGGTCCACAGGTCCTACTTGATTGCCACTATAACCATTCTTTCCAATTTTCGGATTAAAGTAGGATTACTTTTTAGGTTATCGCGTTGCTGAACATTTCTTTTTAATGCAAGTTATTATGGGGGACCAAATAATCACTAGTCATTACTTGTTGTATTAATTTGGTACCTCGTTATAATTAGAATTTTATAAATTTTGAACTACACGACAAGAACTGATTAAGTTAACCAAATGTTAAATATTGGCCGTGCATTAACTAAATTTGAGACCTTAGTAAAATGTTATTTCGTATTGAATTAAATTGTAGTCTTCCTTATTAAAAAATAGTTGGCTTACATATATCTTTCATTTATTATAAACCTGCTACTTGAATTCGAATTCATATATCTTTTATGACAAACCTGTTAGGCTGTTATCTCCTCATCCCTTTGTTTTTTAAAAAAGGTCTTGAACACTTTTTTTTTAAACTTATAATATGATGGGGCTATACTATAATTCTAAATAAATGATTAATAAGGTGTATTTATTTATTAATTTTTAGCTTTTTTTTTTAGAATTTTTAGCCTTTATATTTTAGGTTTTAGTCTAGGTATGCTATTTTTAAGTAGGATTAAACACCGGTATCCCACTAGGGTGGTGGAAAGACTCTCCAATCTTTCCACTAAGCCTTCACATCCGTTAGCAAAGTTTGAATCCACGGACGTGTGGGATATGAACCAACCCTTAGCTAATTATATCCATCTTTATTGGTTGGTTGGTTTTTTTTTTTTAGTACATAGCCTGTATGTTTTTAACTCTAAATAAATCAATAAGTTCTTGTATGCGATTATGATTTCGGCACCAAATTAGAAGTCAACAATTATTATTTATTTCATTCAAAATTAAGTTTCATACAAATTAAGTTTTAGAATAATTTTATGAAAAATTAAAAAAAAAAATATTGCTTAAAACGATGCACTCTTGCAAAACTGCTAAATGGCATATAACTTTATTTTAAAAATTTATTATCGTACATAAACTTTTAGGTTTTAAAATTAAGGCCAAAAAGTTAATTTTTTTTTTTACCTATTTTCTTACAGTATAAAAGCACTCAATTTTTGCAGATAAAAATCACTCAATTGTTTACTAAAATTATTTATAAGATATATTTGTTTGTTTCAAAAAGAACGAACCAATTATTGCTGAAAATGACAAAATGTGATCATAAGAAAAACAATGCTGGAAGTGTGAATATGAGGTGGGTGGGAAGCATAATTTCGTGCTTCCTAAATTGTATTTTTGGCATCTTAGTAAGAAAGGACAAATGGAAAAAAAAAAAAAAAAAAAGGTTTGTTTTAGGGTTGCTGTCTCCGTTAAAAAAAACAGGGAACAGTTGCCGACAATATCATTCGGTCACGACAAAATTTCAACTCTTTGAATCCGTTTTTCCTTATTAATTAAAAAAAAAAAAAAAAAACTGTGGTTCCTATTTGTAAGCTGGAAGTCTTATGCATGTGCCCGACTCTGACATTAATCTCTGCAAAAATTAATGCAGCTTGTCATATTTATAATCTCTTTTCTTTTGGGGTAGCAAAGCACAACTAAAGCATTCATTCGGTGATATTCAAAGGCCATATAATTAGAGCATGTTATCCGGCTCTACTCTTAAGCCAATGGTTGAATTAACTGTTTCCCAGATAAAGAAATCGAGTTCACAAGACTCGGCAACTTGAACACTATCACTTGCTCATATGCCATTCCGATCCCAACGAATGGGACCTAGGCTAGAACTGCTAATGCTATTCTGGCAAATCTTGGTTCACAAACTTCTTTTAACCTTGTTCGCGTTGAAATAATAGAGAATAGATAGCTATGAATGAATTAGTAAAAAGTGAATTGATGAATATATGAAAAATGACTTTTGCGCAGATTGTGCATTAAAGTTCTTGAAAGGAGTGGTGTTCAATTTAAAGTTGAGAGGCATAACCTTCCTAAACATAGGACTGTCATTTATTTTACGTTGGTCCCACTACTCAACAATCACAAGGAAAAATTTGAATCAATTTTGCACAATGGCAAAAGATACCTGGCAACTTTTAAGACAAAAATAGATGACTAATAATGGGCAAAGCTTTAAATTGAGCGTAAAATCGTACAATACAAAATTGCAAAGATTCCTAAGACGAAAATTGATCCTCATTTACAATGGGCCCCAATATGGGTCCTAGTGCTTCCCCTTAGATCTCAACATCATGGATGGAACCTGCTTCATGAACGATTAAAGTTTTGTCGTCAGCAACCCATCTTTTTTAGCTCCATGCTAACCTGTGGGAACTATTCTCTTCCCCTGGCAAATAAATGCAGTATATACAATCCGCAGGGGATTATTTTGGAGACTGAGCTAAATTGGCTCAGGAAGGTGTCTCAAATACCAGGAGCGTAACTTCAAAATCACCTCATCTAGTAATTTTTTTTTTTTTGGTCCCCGCAAGGGATTATATCCTTAATTCACTCAGGCAGAAGTGAATGTGTTGAACTCAGCACCCTCCAACTGCTGTATCACTGAAATAAGCAGTGATCGCCTTCAATTTTCCATTTAAATAAACTTTCTCCACCTGGAACCATGCCAGACGAAAGGGTTAATTTACAAGGCAATGATGTTTAATAAGCTACCAAAGAATACAATGATGGCATAAAAGCATAATAATAAACCTCCCATTTGTTATTATGCTTCACACAGGAACAATGGCGAAGGTAACATGGAGAACTATAGGGTGCCTTGCTTCTTTTTATCCTATTTTACATTTTTAGTCGCAACTCATTTAAGAAGGGTTAACGCAACAGCCAGCCAAGCCTGTGTTTTTAGTTTTAATCAATTTTATACAATAAATATCTTAGCAGATCTAAGCAGCTTAAGTTCAAATAAAACTACAGAGCACATAACAAAATCATATAAAATTCTTCGACCCCAGGGGGGAAAAAATCATGGTTAATGAGCTGTCATCCTGTTCATACCTCCTACAGTCCTACGCTTAAAACGCCCAACGTACAGCCTATATTGCTTTCTTTTCATTCTTTTCCTAGCATCGTCCTCCAAACTAAAGGTTCTCAAACCCCCTAACAGGACACTTGTGGGAAGTTGAACATCATGAACTTTAGTTAACAGAAGACTAAGACAAAGAGTTACCACATTATACACCTACATAATGATTCATGACATTACATCTACTACTCTTATTTATTCTGTAACACCTCTTAAGCCTGTAAAAAACACAATAATCTAATTATGTACGTCACAACTTCATCTCAATAGTTCAGCACAACACCCTTAGAGATCACACATCCAAAATAAAGCATGTCAAATAGACAAAAAGTTGAAATTACCTCTAACGACCATTGTGGACAGGCAGATAGAGATAACTCCGCCAATTGGTTGAAATTGATATTTCTTGGAAGGAACATGACAACTCTCGAAGCAATCTCCTTTGCAACATTGAACACAGTATATCTACACAGAAGCAGCATTGACTCAATGCCATTGAGTTAAAACGGGAGTGTAAAAAAGTTATGTATCTATGTACCAAAAAAGAGTTATTTATCTAACTAGAAGATAAAATTTAAGAGGATAATTAAAGAAAAAAGACAAGCATCGAGATAAAACGGGAAAGTAAAAAGTTATGCATCTATCTACCCAAAAAAAAAAGGTAATATATCTGACTAGAAGATAAAATTAAGCAAAAAGGAGAGGGGTAAATGATTTAATCTTGGAGAATAGTAAATGATTTAAGCAAAAACGGAAAAATAAAGCAAAAAGACAAGCATCTACCCACCCATCATGTGGTCTAAGCATTGTCTTCATGTCATAAGTCCTAACCTTGGCATAATCAGGTCCCCCCCAAGGTGGAGATAAGAAAACAGTATCAGCCTGCAAGACATATTTTTTCAAAAACAATTCCAAAACCTTCATTAGAAGAGTGGGAGCGGTAATGATTTAATCTTGGAGACCTTGACTACATGGTCAGAGAATGGTCTGTTATGGAGACACAAATTCACCCAATTAGATTTACTTTCTGAAATTCAAGTATTTAAAATCAATTGTCAGGATAATAAGTGTAATTTTTATCAATACGTTACTTTTGTAAGTATGTTTACTAGTACTACTGCAACACAATTTACAAATTTTGGCTTCTTACAATCAAATTTCAGCATTCAGAGTATAGTATCAAATCCACTCCCTCATTGTCATCCAATTCTATATAAAATTGCAAAGGTGACACCATATTATGTGCAAGAGGAATAACCAAGAAATCAGGGGAAAAGGCAGGGAAATACGATGGCAGATGTACCATTCCTTGAGGCACACAAGTCTATTGCCACAAGCAAAGAGCAGATTCAGAAAACAATGAAGCACAACTTTCTTACATACAATCATTTCAGTAGGTTGAGATTCTTGAGAAAGGTTCATGGGTAACCCACCCATGACTTCTTCCCCCTCCCCCTGTCTTTTTTTACATTCACACGTTTTTTTTTATGATTTGATACAATATTATATCTGGCATCACAATCACAGCGATCAATTGATTTTTCAAGGAAATATTAACCTCTTCCTGGAGAAGCTTTCAGGAAAAGAGGTAAGAAGAGGACAAACCAGGAGATCAAAGCAGTGATCAGGGTACAGGTAAGGATAAAATATGTTCAGTAGGATAAAATAAGAACAGCGAAGTATGTAATCTGGAAACTTTAGCACCTTTAACTTTGGTGCCAAGAGGAAGAAGTCACCCATTATGAAGTCAATTTGATCATCCACACCATAAATAGCAGCATTATGCCTAGCATAGTCAATCTTCAATGGATCAATATCAATTGCAATTACATGTCTGCACCTGTAAATCAAATAATTATTGCCAAGTAACCATCATTTTCACAGAAGAAAAAGAAGAATAAAATATCTCAGAGGAAGACCTGAGTATAGGACCAAAATTACATCATACCTATTTAATCGAAAATTTAACTTGAATACTGTTTTATAATGGAATTACACTAAGGATCCAGATACAGTTGACTAGATGAAACGAGAAATTTTATTATCTCGTTACCCAGTTGTGATTAACAATCATATGAAATGAACATTGGCAGTTAATAGACTATAAAGCAGAATAACATACATAAAATAAAGATTAAATTACTTCTAGATCCCTATAGTTTCAGTAAATTTTAAATAAGTTCCTATAGTTTAAAAGTTTTTAACAGGTCCCTGTATTTCTAAAATATTTTAAATGAGCCCTTATTCGCTATGAGTCATTAAGACTCCATTAAGATTTGCTAAACTATAAGGATCTATTTGAAAATTTAAATAAATTAGATAGATCTAAACTACACAAAGCACAATTGAACAAGTCCTTACACTTTATTTGAGTTTTTAATTAAGATCTTATAGTTTACCAAAAGTTAATGGTCGTTAGTGAGTAGGGACCTTTTTAGACAATTTAAAAGTATAAGGACTCCGTTAAAAAAATTTAAACTATAGGGACTTATTTAAAATTAAAAATTCAATACAACTATAAGGACCTACAGAATAATTTCAACCTAAAATAAACTAAAGGCAGGAGGATAAGAATCACATCCAAATATTGTTCACTGAAGGCTTTAGGTGACTCCATCAGAAATTTATATACAAACAAAGTGTTTAAGTAAATTTGGAATTCAACAGGTGGACAATCCAATCAAAACAAAAACCATTTATTGAAATGAAAATATATAATATCAGGTCAAAAAAATGAAGGGTGACATTGCAGCGATGGACTAACCCTTGAGAACATGAAGGCACTCATAGGTATACCTACAGGGTATCATCATACAGAATCCAAGGCAACTTGGAACACAAGGAGGCAGTTCGCATAAATGAGAAGATAATAACAAACCAAAGAACATATTTGAAGTTTCTCCCTCACTCTGTTATCTTAATGCTATTCAAGTTGCTGAAACAATAGATAAATATTAAATATATGTTAACTTTCTTTTCTTCCTTGGAAAAATACAAGTCTTTCTATGAGCTTGGCAAATATAAAACATCTAATAAACATTGTCAATCAAGGTCACCAAAAGCTAAAATGAATTCATTGCCTAGCAACAAGTGAGTGATTAGCAATCACTACTCACCGTTGTGCAAATTGGATAGCATTTCCACCTACGCCAGTGAAACAGTCAATTATCATGCCACTAGCACAACGCACTGCATGATGCTGAGCAATAGGCTCTGGAGTGACAGAAAACCATCCTTCCTCATCCATTTTTATACCATCATCAAATCTAGAGAATAAGATATACCTCTGACACCAATATTTTCCAATTGTAGCAGTATATGCTTCAGGCATTTCTTGAAAGTGGAGATCTGCAAAATGCAAAAATGGTTTATTACAAGGGTAATAGCTGTCAACTTTCAACAACATGCAACCACTGAACAAAATCTATATTTAAACATTAATATCTCACGTGACATCAGAAAATTAGTTTTTATCAATCATACAAGCATCTATTCAGTATCCTAGGTATTTGACTCCTAGAACAGCAAAGCAATCATATAAGCATCTATCAAGTATTATATGCATTTGACTCCTAGTAGAAAATGTTGTCATAAAAGTGGAGCCAACTAGCTAAGAGATTTAGTAGAATAGCAAACGTATTGCAGAAGCCAGACTTATGGTATAAGCAGTTAACAAGTGTTTGTTACGAACCTTCAGTTTCATTGTAGAATTTTCTCTGCCTTTGTCTTCTTTTCACTTTCTTTTCCCGTTTTGACATCAAAGGATCAGATTTAGTATCCAATCCAGACACATCAATTACCATGTTTTCCAAGGGTGTATGATTAACCACTGATGCTGCTTGGATGTGTCTTTCATTAGAGCTGCAAATCATATCAATTGTTAGGAGAGCAAGTAAAATATAAAAATCAGAAATGCAAGTTGAAACATGAATTTTCATGTTGTTCTTCCTGTTAGATATATAGACCATTTAAGTAGTTCGTATTTTGATTCTTGCCATCTCTTCTCCTCCAATAAAATTATAAAAAAAAAGAAAAGAAAAATTAAAAATTAAAAAATTAAACTTCTTTGAGTGGATCTAATTTGTGGGATTTCACCTAATAAATTAAGCTTTTAAGAGAGCCAGTTTCTTACTCTTCTAGTTGTTTTTAATATTGAAAGGCTGTGTCAACTTTGGAATTTATATTAGCTATCTAGGAAAAGTATAGTCCCGTTAGTCATATTTAGAAGCCAAGAAGTATATGGTTCAGCATTTATATTGCAAGCTGCAAACCTTGTGAAGATCAATCAGCTTTAGTTTAATGTTGCAATGAATAAGGAATTTTCATACAAATAGTTTTTTTCCAAAATGATTTGATAATAATCTATAGAGAAGCATTGATTACATTTATCATTGAATTAAAACTAGAACATGAAATACCTAATTATATGATCCAGGGTATTTGATACCGAGCAACATGAAAATCCATCATTGCAACTACTTCTCTCAAGAGACTCATCTGAACGATCAAGAGATTGGTCATCACTATTTGTAGTGATATCCGAGACCAAATTGCCAGTAGCAAGTCCAATCTCAGCTGAATACTCTTCATGTTGCTTTCCTTCTAAATTATTTTCAATCAAGGTTTCCTCAGGTGGTTTAGTGTTATTTTGTATTCCACCCTCCTCTACTGCTTTTAGAGCTTCACTATCATCTGTATCAGTACACCCACCAATTGCTAGATGCTCCATTGCTGAGGGTGGATCCCAAGTAGAAGAGTGTGTTTTGATATTATAGAAGTATTTTCTCATATAGAAAGTATCCCAGCACACCATCCAATCTCCAAGTTCACCACAATTATTTGACACATCAATTCTGTCACAATCAACCCCTTCTGAACTCATGGAAAGAAATTCAGATCCATTAGCTTGTGGTTGCCAAGTGGCAGCACCATCGTCGTAGCAAATAGTCTCACAATCTGTATCTTTTGGTGAAAATTCAACACATTCATTGTCAGTCAAGCTTTCACCATATTCTATCCCACAATGATTGACACCAGCACCTGTCAAATGGCTTCCAGCACAGACTCCAATATCTGAAGCTGGTGCAATTTTCAAATCAACACAATTTTTGCTGATTACAAAGTCACCATCCTGGGCATCATTAGTTGCTGCCTCATTTATATTATCATTACTTTTCTCCCTGGAGACATCATTATTAAACCCAGTACAGCATGCTGAATTAGCTCCTTCACCTGAGGGACATTGGGTCATATCAAACTCCACCACACCATCACAGTAAGATGATTCACTTTGACCCAGCATTGATACAAAAGATAAAGAAATGCTTGTTTTATCATGAAATTTAGCAGAAGATACAACCTCCTCCCCACTATCTTCATAAAGAGTTTCATCTACAGGATTGTGACAAGTACGCGGATGCTTTGAATGTGTACCCTTTCTTTTGCCTTTTACTGGTCCTCTTTTCTACGACAAGACATAATTAATGGAACTTCAAAACTAATAATCTAATGGTATATACAAAGCAAAACATGAATAATAGAGGAGAATAAGTGATGATGTATACATTCAAAACAGAATAGAGAAAACTTGTTATAAGAAAATTAAAATTAATTCTTTTGTAGGAATATATAGAGACTATGTGTGGACTGTTAGAGACACTCAATTCATCTTATCAGATTTAGTCTCTAAACATCAACATTGTCTTTTATCCTAAACTAATTAGGGTCGGCACTCGATGAACCCACATAAAATCAAGTATTAGCATACAGCTTTAGCTTCGGTTATTTGTTATTGTTGTAGTCTAGTTCTGGATGTATTAGATTACTCACACTCTAATCTGTTAATTAGTTTTCCCTTTCTGTTATATTTTGGTTACAGATTAGTAGGTGCTGACTCATAGCTGAGACAGTAAAAAGGCTCTGTAAATAGAGCCAGTTCTCTCTCGATAAGTATTCTTTTCACTCGTTCAGAATATATCAATATAGTGTTTACTCTTCAGAATTCTCTCTTTCCACTTTCTTAGATTTTCTCCCATTTTCTCACCCTTTCTGACCAAATCTTAATAACAAGCAACCTTCTATCACAGCATTTCAGGAAAATACTTTTATCCGTATGCCTACCTCCTTATTTGTCTGAAAGGAAACAGGAAGCCCCAATTCACTCATCTCTCTGGTAAGTTCCAAATCCTCAGGTCGAATAAGGTCACTCCAATCTGCAGAAAAACACAAGACAAAAAATAAATAAACAAATAAATAAATAAATTATTACATAAATTCTCCACGCATGAGAAAACAATTTGATGATTAAAGCACCATTTTCAGAGTTAACAAGTAATTTTCGGTGAAATAAAGACAAACAATGTCAAAATTAAGAGCAAAGAGTGTTCAAATGAAGAATCAGAAGCACTTGCCAGGAACGAGGTCAGAACCGTCATTGTCATTCTCATCAGCTTCAGCCAATTTCTAATATACAAGAAACCGATAGCAGATATCAAACACGGTAACTATAAATGTTCAGTTAACAAGAAAGCATGTAAGCAAAGATAAACTCACGGAGCGTTCAGCTGATAACGAAACCCGCGGGCCATCATCCCTGTGGAAAATAGAAGAAAAGGGTTTTAGGTAAGTAAAACCTCGTTTTTGTGAGTGCATAGCAAAACAGAGAGAAAAAAAGTAGAATGTGAGGACTAACCAGAGAAAGACTTGGGTGACCTTGAACAGAGAACCAAGGGCTTCGATAGCGGCACCTTCGTAGTCGGTGTCGGCGATGACCATATTATCAATATTATGTACAAAAGAAGACGAAGGCATGTAACATTTGGTGCTTTTTAAGTTTTAAGTGACCCTATTCAAAAGCAGCAAACGCTATATGCCTTTTTTTTTGGATTATTTAATTTATATTTTATCATTATAAAGTATTATAAATCTTGATATTTTTTTTCTCTCTTTTTTTCATAACTGAACATGATTAATAAGGAAAATAATATTAAAATTTGAAAAATTAACTTGAAATTAAAAGTTTTAAAAAATTATATAACAACAAGAAACAAAAACTTTTGAGCCCCAAAATTATTATTATAAAAAAAAATTAGCAAATCATTATGAATATGGACTCGTGATGAGGAAAAATTTAAGAATCACTATTGTATGTATATATAAAAAAATTATAATAACAACATTATCGTTGAATATTTGCAATAGATTAATTTTTACTTTGTTTACCAAAAAAAAATTATTTTTTACTTTTTCCAGTTCAAACCATTAGCCATATATTATAAAGAACAACTTTAGCATAGTTCCAAACCTATCCATAAGAAATAGTTACATTATTTTTGTGAATTGTGGCAATATAAGGAATCCAAAACAATAGTCAATTGTCTGTGTTTTTAAAATGATTTATTTTCAAAAACAAATGTTTTTCACAATTGTTGAAGAATAGATTATAAGAAAATAAATTTATTTTTTTTAAATACATAGTTATGTCATTTTATTTTCTTATAAGTATGTATTCCGAAAATATATAAGTATAATATTAAAGTTAGGGAGAGGTTATACTTACAACCTATTTTCTTTTACAATCAATATTTTAACCGTTGATTTCAGTCAATAAGATTTTCGCAAATAAAATTTATTAATTAATTATTAATTCGCAATAAATCTTATCGGTTAAGATATTGATCGTAAGAGGTTGTAAAGGAAAATAGGTTGTAAGTATAACCTTTCCCTTAAAGTTATATTTTTTTTTCTCATTTCAGAAACTGACATTGATGTGGAAAGTAGAAAAAAATTTAAATGACACAAAATTATGTCATTTTTAATGAAATTAGGTCGTTTTGATAAGTTTTCACATATTTTTGGAAATAATTACTTCATTTTTTTTTTTCAAATTTTATAAATTAAAAAAACAAAAAACACACACTAAAACTACGTAATTTATTAAAAAATGACACAAAAGTTGCATCACGGACACTAAACCCACTAAACATACACTAAAAACTAAAAGTTCAATTTTGTTATTGTTATGAAATGTTTGTTTCGACAGCAAAAGAAGAACCCGCGCTTACAGAGAGCGATCCGAAAACACTACTGATTCGTTATCGCCGCAGAGGATAATGGAAGACGGTGATAGAACAGAGGAGGAGGAGGTTGACGTTCAGGTTGTAAACGACGACAAAGACGAGCTAGGGTTTCCGCTTTCGGATGAGGAATCTCCCTACGAATTGTTGCAAAACACTAAGGTTTCAGTAGAGAACATCATCGCCGAGATTCTCTCTATTAAGAATCAACGCAAAACCAAACCATTCCTCAGAATGAGAGAGCTCGTCACTCAAATGTTCCTCCACTTGGTCACTCTCCGTCAGGTCCCTCATCACACTCCTCCACTTAGGGTTTATTTACAACTAACTTCAGATTTTAACAATGCGGTGTTTTTTTTTTTTTCTTCAATTTTTTCAGGTAAATCGTTGTATCTTGGTGGAGGAAGAGTTTGTGAAAACCGAAACGGAGCGTGCAAAGGCACCTTTGGATTTCACAACACAGCAGCTTCATAACCTGATGTATGAGAAAAGTCACTATGTTAAAGCAGTAAAGGCTTGCAACGATTTCAAGTCGAAATGTCCCGAGATTGAGCTGGTAAACGAGGAAGAGTTTTTTCGTGATGTGCCGCAACATATCAAGGGCTCTGTTTTGTCAAATCATAGTGCCCATAATCTCATGCTTAAGAGGCTCAATTTTGAGCTATTTCAGGTGATCATTTGCTTTCGTTTACTGAATTTGGGAATTACATATGTAGATTGTAGTTGTTGAAGCCTTAGGAATAAGTGCTCATAGAAAGAATGCAATGTATATTACATTCAGCCTCTCTTTTTTTTTGGGTTTCTAGTGGTGTCCTCGTCCATTTAGACGAGACTAATCCCCTTCTCGGCATAGAGCGTGAAGATTTTTATCACTGACCCCAAGGTGTTTCACCTAAGAATCAAACCAGCGACCTTTCAGCCACAATAATCCGCTTCTTGGGCACAGCCTGCTTACATTGAGCTTCTTGGGATATTTGATTCTCGACATATTGCATCAAAGTTTTTATGATCTAAGAGTTCAGAGACTTAAGGATTTCGTTGTTTGGAGAATTGCAGAACTCACCTTTGTCTGCAAATCAAATTGTACTGTCATGTTCATGGATGCCTCTGCCTCCAGCAAAAAGTATTGTATTAATAGACTAGTTTCCCTTAGAGTAAAATAAGGAGTTTAGGGTAAATTGATGGTGGCCTTGTGTTAATGAGTCTCTGAAACATGTAGACATTTTGTTCATTAGATTGAATTGCTTTACTTGAAGGAGAGCTGTGACTCTGAGCAGAGCGGGAGTTTTTGTTGGAAATCGACAATCACACAGAATCGAGAAAACAGAAAAAGAGATAAGAGTAGAGAGATTAGACACAGCTATTTACCCTGGTTCACCCAATATAGGCTACGTCCAGCTTGTCTGTACTATATTCACCTCATCGCCACTCGTTACAAGTCACTCGGTTTACGAGGCAAATATAAATAGGATTAGAAAACCCTAACAGCAGCTATTCATAGGCCCAAGCCCAAACTGCTAAGAAAATTACAATAAAATATAGGCCCACAACAGTACCTAGCCTCTACGAGCCTGGGGGCGCTGCCCCCCGACCCCCGCCCGCTCACCTGGGAGCAGGACCCCAGTTGCCTTTCTGCTGACCCCGACAACTAGGGCCTTCATTAACATGCGAAGTATGAGCCATACCCAATAGTTTTATGGCACCTTACTTTACTTATGTTCTGTTGATAGAGACCGAGAGCAAGTTATATATTGCACATACCTGTAAATGAGTGTTGGCATTTAGGTTAGTCTTCTAATAAGCATGTAGCTTTATTGTGTTAAAGTTGAGAAGTTCTTTTTCTCATTCATTTATCTTTAAAGCTTGTGATGGTAATCTGTATTCTTTGTGTTTTCTTGTGAATAGCAATAAATATGCTCATACTTCATATTTATAATTTTGTACCAGCGCAAAGAGCTCTGCAAACTTCGTAAGAAACTAGAACAACAAAAGAAAAGTCTTTTGGAGACAATTGCAAATCGAAAGAAGTTCTTATCAAGTCTCCCATCACATCTCAAGTCTCTAAAGAAAGCATCCTTGCCTGTACAAAACCAACTAGGAGTTCAGGATACCAAGAAACTAATGCGGCATCATTCAGCAGAGTTGCTTCCGCCACCACTTTATGTGATTTACTCACAGCTGTTAGCTCAAAAAGTGGCATTTGGAGAATCCATAGATTTGGAGATTATAGGAAGCCTGAAAGATGCTCAAGCTTTTGCCCACCATCAAGCTCGCAAGGACACTGGTAATTGAGAGTTGATGTGTCAATTCTAGCATTCTATGGATTTGGAATCTATGTTATCTGGTACTTTTGAAGCTTCACTGTTTCTAATGAGATAGGATTATAAACTTCAATTTTTCAGTTTCCTTTCAATGATTCAACTTCAAACCAAAAATTACTCCAACATATTATTCAGGATATTAGCTACTAAAAATAGGTTATAAATAGTTTCAATACTAATAATAGAATAATGAGAAAAAGAAAAGAAGTTTATTACTATGTTACGATCCTACTCCAAGGTATGGGACTTGGAGTCCCACATCGGAAACATAAGGGTGTGGGGTATATATGGATTTTAGGCTCTCCTACCTCATGAGCTAGCTTTTGGGGTGAGGCTCTTCTAACGTTCGTATCAATTGGTATCAGAGCTTTCCACTATGTCTCTCGGTTGCAATCGAGCAGCGTGGGTGGTGACGCTGGCATTGCAGTGTTTCCCCAGAGCTAGTAAAAGGCTAGCACAAAGCCAGTCCTCGTGGGCACCAGGGTTGCGGAGCATGGTGGAATGTTAGGATCCTACTCCAAGTCTCATACCTTGGAGTCCACATCGGAAACATAAGGTTCTGGTGTGGGGTTTATATGAACTTTAAGTTCTCCTACCTCATTAGTTAGCTTTGGGGGTGAGGCTCTCCCAAGGTTTGTATCATACTACATTTAAAGTACTGTCATATTTATTAACGGTCTTCACTCAATGTTTCCTTGATTTAGTTGGATTAAATATTTACCATCTTTCTCAAAGTGTAATCGTGTATGGTGTACATCACTTGGCTTTGGCAATAGAAAATCTAGAAATTCACTATGCTGTTGTTTTATCACTCAGGCATTTCCTCCACAGTGGAGAGTTCCAAATTGGAAGATGATGAACCTGATGATGAAGATGGTCAGAGATGGAGTAAAAGGCCAAGGAGGGTTCAAGGCAAGGAGAGCCTTGACCAGGCGGGAATATTCCAAATTCACCCACTTAAAGTTACTCTCCATGTGTATGACGACGAGGTTTCTGTTCTCGAGTCTGCAAAACTCACGACTCTAAAGTTTGAGTACTTGGTGCAGTTGAATGTTATATGTGTTGGAGTCGATGCATCTAATGATGGTCGTGAGAATGACATCTTATGCAATTTATTCCCTGATGACACGGGTCTCCAGCTTCCTCACCAGGTTTAGGCATCTTGTTCATCTATCTGTCTCTTTAATATATTCCTTCATCTTTATATTTATATGCCATTTCTTTTTATTTAAATGGTGATGCAGTCAGCCAAGCTCTTTGTTGGGGATGCAACAATGTCTAATGATGATAGAACTTCACGTCCTTACAAATGGGCTCAGCACCTGGCAGGAATTGATTTCTTGCCTGAGGTGTCTCCCTTGATGTTTGCTAGCCGTGAAACTTCAGACAACAGTGAAGATGTTATATCTAGTCTTTCACAATATCGCCAGCAAAACCGAGTACAGACAGTTCTGCAGAGAATTCGTTCGAGGAGAAAAGCTCAGTTGGCTCGTCTGTGAGTCGCTGCTCTTGTATGTTACAAGTTTAGAATATGAAGGACCCGTGTGGGTATTCAATGAAAAAAAAAATACCTTAGTGTGATCAACTGAAAGGCTTGCTTTTGGGCTATGCTTTGGTTGTATTGTTGTGAGGGCCGGTTGAATACATCGAACCGTGAATCCATAATGTTTTTGGTTCGATTACTACCCAGTTCAACCACGGCTAAATTATAACCCATTAAATCATGATCGGAAGGTGTAATACACACGTCTGCTATATTAAGGAATAAGTTATATTTATGGGATATGATTTACACACGTCTGCTTCTATATACATAAGAAGCATAAGGCATATCTACCTTATACCCACACTCAGGGATTACTATCTTGTGCAGTTTCACACTACACTCAGGGGTTATCATCTTATGTGTAATACACCACATAACATATATATATAAGAGTGCATCATTTCATCATCTCAAATAAAAGATAAGCACATATACCACATAAAACTATTATTCCCTTCTTGGAGTATGGTGGAACAAATGGGGATTAATCCTGAGAACACGGAACTTACCTGTCAAGAAGTATGATCAAGTTCAAGATCCAAACAGCAGCTCACAGATCACCAAATAGTAGAATCAAGGTCTGTTTATACCAGAAATATAATTAATATTCATAGTATAGAAGCTTATTGCATTAGGACAACGTTTTCTTTTTTGTTTAATGACCGTAGGTTTCTCTCAAAGCCATAAGCCTTCAGTATTATTTGTTCTGACTTAATTAAATTATTCCAGAGGTTCATAACAATCATTTAAGGGTCCAGAAACCCAACCCACACTTTTGTTTGGGTAAAATAGCTCAAAACATGATTTTTTCCAGAATATCCCAATACTCCTCGGGGACATATACGGATATCAATATCCGGATATCACAAGGTTAATATCCGGATATTCACAGACCCAATATCCGGATATCCATATCCAGATATTCACAGACACAATATCCGGATATCAATATCCAAATATTCTCAGACCCAATATCCGGATATCAATGTCCAGATATCACAAACCAAATATCCGGATATTTCGCGACAGAATGCAGTTTTGCATTTTCGTGAAGATATCCCTTCAAGGTTCCATTTTTAACACTTCCAGACGTTCAAGTATGCATTTTTAGACACATTTAAGCAAGTGTTCGTGTTGGTTAATTAATATCTTCATTTAACATGCCAAGACTTGATCTTTTACATGAAAACTCAAGAACAAAGGTTAGAAATGTACTTCAAAGCCTTGCAAACAGAAAATAATGGGTCTTTAATGTTGGAAAACCCACTCTTTACTCCTACCAAGCTGTGTACACGAAAATGGAGTGATGAAATTCACTTCTCTCACCACAAGAGCTTCCAAGTAAGATTGATATAAGCTCCAACTCTAAAACTCTCAAGGCTCACACTCCTCCTTCCAAGACAGCAGCAAAAAGAGTTCCAAAAAGAGACCTTTCTGCCTCAAGGTAACTACTTTCCACTTACAAGAAGGATCAAAAGGAAGAAGAATACATAAAAAGGGGTTCTTTGCTAACTCCCACGAAGAAAGGTGAGATCTTCCTAGGGAATGGAGAAAAGGGTGGTCTCAGATTTTTGGGAAGAGCTACGTAGGTTTCTGAATCAAATAGGGTGAATGTTTAAGTTAACTTATATAAGGTTACTCTACTTATTCATCAGTATTAGTTTTAATAGCTCAGCTAATCATTTTATTACCAAACTTAATATTCTGAACCTAGCCCTTTTTTTAAGAATTATTATGTTTTTATTATAATTTTCACAGCACTTTGCCGGTACGCGCTTTATACACTCTCAGTATTAGTTTTGACATCAATTCTCATTATTATGACTTCAAACTTGATATTCCAGTCCTAGATATCATTCTAGGAATATATACATATTTTTCATAATTTTTCAGGATACTTCATCGGTATACATTTATACCGTGAAGCAGACCCAGTATTTGCACTTTTCGTCAGAAAAGCGACTTTCAACGTTATAAAACCCTTACATTATTTATTTAAGTCCTCTCATAATTATTCCAAGTTAATTATGGAATTATTTCTTAAACTCATAATTAGTTCAATTAAATTCCTAATTTAACGGTGCGAGTTCTTACAGCGGGCAGAGTTATTTTGGCCAAGTCAATGTTGTCTGCTATACCAATATTTCATATGCAAAATAGTCTTCTCCCAGTAAGCATTTGTGATGATAATTCGTATGTGATGATAAACTAATACATTATTAAATACTCTTTTCACACAAACTATTTTTTTTAAATATTTTAAATTTTGAATTAAAATAAAACATTTTTCATTCATCTGTGTTTTTAAATTTTATATCTCGTATAATTATTTTTCGTTTTCCATCTTATCATTATTAGCATTGGAAACTCCCATCCCAATTTTATTCATCGAATTGGCAACTCATTATTAACATCAGCAATTACACAGTAAATGAAATTCCTAGTGGGTATATTAATTACTGTTATTTTCATTAACTGTCAAAAGACTCCTCATAATATAATTACTTTGTGTTTTGAAAACGTCTATAGTGACCTTTGAAATTTTTCATGCAATCAGAATTAGAATAGGTATTCCTTGAAATTTCCAATGCATTCAGGTTTACAATAGAAATTCCAAACGATATCCCATATGATGCATTACTTGAATCATATTTTTGGTTGCATGTGTTTTATTTAATATGTATTTTTGTTTTATATCTTATTTGAAACTAAACAATGAAATTTCAAATTTTAACTTAAATATTACAGAAGTAGAGCTTGAGAAGATGAAAATATAAAGAAACAAAAATAATAAACAAACAGAAGTTTTAGGTTATTTGCACAATTTCAAAAGTTATTTTCCTTTATTATGAGATGTTTTTAGAATTTCAATAGTTTATTCACATTTAAAGCATATTAATTTTTGTTTATAAAAAAAAAGCATATTAATTTTTTGAAAGTTTTACCGAAATAAGTTTTGAATATTACTTAATTTCGCTGGAGAAAAAAAGAAAATAAAAACGATATACAAAGGATACATCATAAAAGTCATACAGAAAATGAAGAAAAATAATTATTTTTTTGGATGTATAAAGGATATTAGTAATTATGTTCGGTGGAGAAAAAATAAAAAAGAAAAAGAAAAAGAAAGAATATATAATAATATACCCTTTTTGTTATTATGAAGCCACAATTTCATGATACATATACAATAAAAGAAAAAAGAAAAGAAAATGGAAAGATGCAAAATCGAAAAACCAAAAGAGGGTAACCCATATCTTTATCTTTCACCTAATATACTCACAAATCGTTCTTCTTCTTCTTAACCCTAATTTCATTGATGATGTTGGTTTCATAGTAGACTGTTTGCTTTCACTGTTATAAAGCCTTGATCTTTTCCTTTTTCACCATTATGCATTTTTCACGTTTTTCTTACTGAAACCCCTAAAACATAAGCATAAAATGAGAAAGAACTATAAAAAATACCCCTGAAATCTTTTTTCTACATTTCGAGGAGATTGATTATTTGCAAAGAAAGTTTGTACTTGATCTACATACCGCTCCCACAAAATACACTCATTTCATAGTGGTTGTAAGAAATCATCGTATATACTAAAAAATTTACTTATTTTATAATATATCATGCCTAAAGATACTTTTTCAGAATAATATCAACTCAATTGTGCAATATATTTATTTTATAATATTCAAAAAATGAAAAGAATTATGGAGAAAATACTTGTAGAAGAAAAACAAATAGAGAAGAATGTCATATCTTCATCTAAGGAAGTACAGAAGTATATATCTTAGTGATTCCAAATTATCCTGTTGGCTTTGCTCTACAACAGAGCTGCCCAAAAAAAAATATTACATGTTCATCTAATAGAAGAACAACTTGAGAAGATGAAGAAGATAAACAGATAGAGAAGAAATATGTGCACCTGATTACCAACTGAAAAGACTCAGTAACACATATTCTATTTATACACGAAATAATTTTATTTTTTTTACAAAATATTTTTGTTATTTAAAGGTTATAAGAAAATATGAAATGATGGATTTTCCATTTTCAAGTAACATTGGTAATGCGTTTTGCACCTCCCAACAGAACAATTAAAAACCTTACAATTCCAATGTAAAAATGATAGTCGGAGATTAATTTGATGTTTACCACTAACACTTTAATTTCAAAATTTAATTTACCTAAAACTTAATTTTTAGTTATTTATTTATTTTTTAAATTGGCATGCAAGTGTGAACACACAGTGTGAACATACAGTGTGAACACAAAGCTGAAATTGAAGGAGAGATTGACACGTTAGTTTTTTTGGTTATCCTTCAAGATAATAATGGATAGGAAAAACTTTGGTAAAACTCCTTAAGGTTTTGCTTTACAATAAAAAAATTTCCCATAAGTTTTTTTTTTAATCAGTAATATGATGTCCCCATGATGGAAAATACACCTACCTCTATATTAAAATTTCATGTAGATGAAGATGGAGTTTAGGAATGCTTTTGTCTCTAAAATATTACTTTTGATTAAACACCCTATACTAGGCTATGTAGCACCGATACGACACGCGACACGTGACACGACGCGACACGACACTCCGACACGTCAATCCTAAAAAATTATGGATTTCGACACGTTGGGACACGTTTTAATATTAAATAATATTTTTAATTTATATAGTGTATATTTCATTTAATATTTAATAATTTAACAAAAAAATGAAACTAAATTAATAATACCCATCAACACGTTATAAAGATGGAAGCTTTAATAAAAAAAATAAGAACTGGGATGAAAGAGATATAATATCAGATAGAGAGATCAAATCATATTAGAGAGAGATCAGAGAGAAGAAGATACAACAAGAGCGTGATAGGAATTGACAACAATGATGCTGAGATGATCTCTTATCTACTTAAGGGGAAAAAAGGCAAAAGATAAAATTGATATGATCAGGTGGAAGCTTTATTAATATATTTTAACTTTAAAAAAAAAAATTAAAAAAAATTTTAAATTTTTTTTATGAAAATGCCATTTGACCGTGCCGGACACAGTCAAATTCGCGTGTCGGAATGGTCAACGTGTCGGAAAAAGTCAACCGCGTGTCCGACACCGTGTCGGACCCGACTCTTCCTGTTTTTACAAGTGTCCGTGCTTCCTTGATACTAGGAACATTACTGTTTAAAGAAAATTTAGAGATATTTTTAGTACTTGTTTGGAAAAAAAATTTAACTTATATTCTTCTTATAAGCACAAATAATTTTATAAAAGCTCTGATCATAAAAAGAATTTTTTCAATAATAGATAAAAAGATAAAAATTCTCATGAAACTCTTGAAGGTTAAACAGAAGACAATGACCTTTTCAAAATGAAATAGTATGTCAGGTCAATTCATAAGAGTAACAAGATGGAAAAGTAGCTAAACAATAAAAAAATGGTTGAAGAATTAAAGAAGGGAAATCATTATCTCCTTCTACATGAGATAAGAACTTTTTTCTACACAAATTCGTTTTCCGTGCCAATTAATTTTTCTTTTCTTTTTTAATTTAAAATATGGGACCCACATTTAACTTATCTCTACTTTTTTTCTCTCCTACTATCCTACAAGATAAGAAAATATGCAGCCGTTAAAGAATTGTATCCGGACCATTTATCAAGTAAAGGATGCCTGAGTCACACTTGGCATCGTATTGTGCTGCAATAGCAAAACCGTCCATCTAAAAGAGTACAGCAACAAACATAAAATAATCCATATAAAATCAAAATAAACCATCGTTGCACAAGGAGTCAAGGACTAGAAAAACGCAAGACTTACTTTGCTATTAACTTATTATTATATTAGCATATTTATCCGTGGGTTAAACAATTCTTATGTTGGCATTCAATTAACGGTGAGCTTCATATTTTTTTTTAAAAAAAAAATTAAGGAAATATTACTCTCCTTTCACATAAGATATTTTCTCTCATGTTCTCTCACTTTGATTTTTGTACCCCATATTTTTCTTTTTTTTCTTTTTTTCTTGTAATGATAGGACCCACTTATTTTCTCTCTACAACATAAGATAACTATCTTATGTTAAATGAGTTTAATAAAACCTAAAAAATTAACATACAAATCGAATACTTATAACATAAGAAAACATTTCTCACATATAAGAAGTGTTTTTTTTGTTACAGAATAATATAAAATTATTAAAAAATTCTTTACCTAATACCTTAAAATTTTGAATTGAAATAGTTCTTTATATGGTATCAGAGCTTCAGCGACCATAAAGTTACAAGTTCGATCTTCACCGCTCACATTTATGAAATTAAATAAATATAAGATAAAACCCAAAAATAAAATAAAATTGAACTTATACAATATTTATGTTTCAAATCTAAAGAATTTTTATATAAAAAAATATATTAGAGAATAATATAAAATTATTAAAAAAATCTTCCCTTAACTTCTTGAGATTTTAAATTGAAAGAATTTTTTACATTTTTCATTATTTTATATCATAAAAATAAAGCCACGTTACAATTTTTTTGATGGTACAAGCCAATTGACATTAATAGTGTCCATAGGGAGGGGAGAGGATCTGGACCCCAAAACTCTACGTCCCCACCCCATTAGTCTCGTGCAATGAATGCGTGATTTCCACGCATAATAATCAGAACGTGGCTCTATAACTTCTTCTCCTATTCCATATGGATCTCCGCCGACAATAGCGTCATTTGTATATCTCTCTCTCCCCTCACAAGTCAGAACCAGATATAATGATGGATGCTGCTGAATGCTCCAAAGATTCCACCACTTCATGTGAGGAAAACGATGCGCGATCCCACTCAATTCATTTCCCAACAAAATTTAACATCTTCGCTTAATTCATTGACCCGGCACCGAATTTGTGATCAAAGAATATTTAATAATGTATTAGTTTATTATTTAATAAATAAACTTCATTAAATGACATCATTAAATTTTCTTTTATTAGTACGTTACGGTAATAAGAAAATCTTAAATAAAAAAGGATATAAAAAACACGAGAGTCATTGAAAAAGACAAAATTGGAGTTTTCCAATTTCTATAATATAATTTTATTTTTTTTTCCCCGAAGGAACTAAAAAGGAAAAAGGAAGAAGTAGAGAAGAGACAAGTCAGAATTACAGATAAGACACACAGCCTTGCTACAGCTTTAAAGCATTTGCCAAGTAGTTCCTCCCACTCACAAATCACAACAACAACAATAACAATAACAGCGCTAGAAAGCGCTGTTATCATCTATCTACCAGATACTATTGCTTGCGCTTGCACCTACACCTGCACCTGCACCTTCACCTTCTTCTGCTGGTTCCGTCATTTTCAGTTTTCACAGTTTGATTAACGCAGTCGCAGATCTCGTGATCGGCGATTGAAATGGACGGTTACGATGGAACGGTGAGGCTTGGAGCCATTAACTTGAAGCATGATCGCAGTGATTTTGACTCTGGACCCGATGTATCTGTTTCATCTCCGGTTACGAGACAGAAGGCCGCTGCGGCTAAGCAATTCATCGAGAATCATTACAAGAATTATCTCCAAGGATTGCAGGATCGCAAAGACAGGTAAACCTTAACCTACACCTACCTCTTCATATTTCACTCTTTTATTTTATTTTATTTTGCATTTAATACTTCCACTTCGTGTTTCTGCATTTATTTTTTGCATTTAATCCTTCCTCTCGCTTTTATTATTTGTTCTTCCTCTGCCTCTATATCTCTTTCCATTTTATTTCATTTTTTAATTTTCTTCTCCAACAACGTGTTATAATTCTGTGTGAATTGAAACTCTTTGTTTTTCTCTAATCTAATGCTCTTTTTGACAACGTTTACATGACATTATTCTGTAGTACCACAAAGCAGAAAATTCATTACGACTATATATATAAATTCGTATAGAGTATCATGTGAGAAAGTGAGAGCTAGTAATCTCAATATTAGCTCCTCTCATCTTTCACGCTATTACTGAATACATTCACTATATATATATATACATATATATGTGTGTGTGTAATGTCATACTCATATCGTTTAACAACTTTTCTCATTGAGTAGATTAAGTCTACCAAACGGTTATAGCTCAGTTGGCGTATGAGAGCTAAGCAGACGGGGGTGAGAGGAATTTCCCCAGTACCACTTTTGGGAGGGGTTTAAAGCCTTAATCCTGGACCCACCTCGAATCGGATTAGTTGCGAAGCAACGAACCGATTGGAATATTTCAAAAAAAAAAGTCTACAAAATTTAAACTAATTGATGCTTCATTGCATAACATTTTAACGTTTAATATAGTTTTTAAAATGTAAGTAAATGTAAGACTATAAGATTAAATACTTATAAATGTCAAATTTAATCTAAAATTTGTTGATCATTAAGATAATATCATGTGGTTCAATGGTTAGATTTCTTAAATTCATATTATACAAAATGTTATTAAATGATGTAAGTTTACAAGACTAACTTCTAAGTGGATTCCCTCTCATATATATATATATATATATATATATATATATATATATATATATATATATATATATATATATATATATATATATATATATATATATGAGTGTGTGTGTTACTTTAAATTTCTTGTTGTTCTGTTTCAGACGCAGAGCGCTTCAAAGGAAAGTGCAAGAATCTCAAATATCAGCTGAAGAGCAGGAGGAAATGATGAGGAATTTGGAGCGCCGAGAAACTGCGTACATGAGGCTTCAGAGACGTAAAATTGGAATTGATGACTTTGAGCAATTAACAGTAATTGGTAAAGGTGCTTTTGGTGAGGTACACAAACATAATCAAGATAATGTATTAATGTTACATCACAAACCTTTGGATTCCTTCTAATGTAGTGTCTTCTTGTTATGAACTTAATACGTTTATGCATCACTATAGTTCTTAACTTTGTTAGATAATGTAGGTGAGGTTATGTCGTGCTAAAAGTACAGGAGAGATTTTTGCCATGAAGAAATTGAAGAAGTTAGAGATGCTTAACCGCGGACAGGTACCAGCTGTCAAACTTAGCACATAATACTTTAGTGCATCAATCTTCATAGTCGCACCATTTATTGCTGAAAAGAAGCAAAATTCACAATTCATTAATGTTTTCACTAATTGATTTCATTAATACTTCCCTAATTATACCGACAGATGTTATGATGGTTTGGTTCGTGTCATATATATGGTAAAATTTGAATTTAACACCCAATATTAATTGATCTATCTGGAATGCTGTAACGCCCGACCACTTGCAGGATCAATGACTGTTCCCATAAATCAATACGAGACTTTTCAGCGTGATTTGTCCTCATTCACCCACTTCCTGAGAAACTTCCCAAGAGTTCACCCATCCCAGAATTGTTTCAAGTCAAATACGCTTAATTATGGAGTACTGAAAAGGAGATGAATCTTGTTAGTATAGGTAGTACCTATTAATTCCTTTAACTATCCTCGACTATACAGTCCCACTCCTGCACAGCCTCTGGATCCCTCTCGTTTAGGTGTTGATTCGATTCATTCATGTATACCTCCCACTGGAAGCCTGTTAATAGCCGCTTCTTGTTCGTGCCTTATCTCTTTTGCACCGGATATTACTCTCCTCCCTCATCAACGCCCGGGATGTTACATATGCCTATGCTAATTTGCATCTTATCAACATGTAATTGTAATTTAGCTGCTGTAATATGAATGCATTTATTTTGTGCAGTTTTCTTAACAAATAAAATGTTTAGTTGGTAAGCTAAGTTATTTCAATTTCCAATTTCCAATATCCAGCTGATAACAGTTCATCACACTGTAATGTGTTGAAATTCAACTTTATGTCTGAAATTCAGTCCAGTAGAAAACAAAATGCTTGTCAGTATTCTGAACTGAAATAAGGGTTAAGAGAGGATATATCCCAGTAAGGGTGAAGTTTGTCAATATCCAGAGAATCCTAGAAGCTCAAGTATGAGGGACTAGAGCTCAAATGGAGGTTCTGGTATTCGAATGTCAGACCAAAGCTGAGAATGGGTAAGGTGTGGTGAAAAGAGCATGGTTCTGGCGATATTTCAGCAGTGTGACGGTAACATATGTATGTGAGCATGGAGAGGCTCTTCGTGAGTGTGATAGGGTTATGTATATGAGGGAGAAGATTCCCTTGGTGTGTAATGCATGGTGCCACCATTAGCCACATAAGGTGTGAGTCAATCAGAGCCCTCATGTGCAAAGGATATGCTATGCTTGGGGTGTGAGGGATAATCGGGTGTAAAAGAGAACTTTGTCCTGTGGTGATGGTGATGGATTGGGCCCCACGTGGGCCTCATGTGCCAATCCAGAACATCTGTGACTTATTTTTATAACCATCTTGTTTGCCTTTGTTGAGAAGGCACTGTACAATGGCAAGAACTTGCTTCTTCCTAATACCTTCCCACTGTTTCCAGCAGTTCTGTTGTCTCACAATTTTATTTAATTATTGTGGAGCTGATGCCATATGTACTTTGACATTGGATAAAAATGGAATAAAATCATTCATTATATAGGAGCTTAGGGTTCAATTGATGTTACAGACTAAAAATTTCAATGCAAGTAGACAATTCTGACTTTGGAATTCATTTTATGCTTCTTTTTACATCATGATTTCATTCTAATTTAGGTTGAACATGTTCGATCTGAGAGGAACTTGCTGGCAGAGGTTGATAGTAGATGCATAGTAAAACTCCATTATTCATTCCAAGATTCGGATTTCCTATATCTCATCATGGAATATTTACCTGGTGGTGACATTATGACATTGTTAATGAGAGAAGATACTCTTTCTGAAGATGTTGCTCGCTTCTACATTGCTGAAAGCATTCTTGCTATCCATTCAATACATCAATACAACTATGTGCATAGGTATAGCTATTGTCTAACTTTTCAGTTTTTGTTCTATTCGTTGGCACAGCCACTGTATACATATGAGGCTATGAGTTGTGGGCAGAGAACACCTGCTCTGATATCATCAAAAAACAGTATTCTTACATGCATGTGGCTTACCATAGTTACCAAGGAATTCTGATGATGGGTAGAGCGTATATAACTTATATTTAGCTTGTCAGATTGTAAAGGAATATATTTATGCATAATCTCTTCAGTTGTTGTCCACTTCTATGCTGTTGTGAAATGATTTATATAAAATTATGGTACGATGAATTGGTCTTTCAATAACGTTAAAGAGAATCCTTAGATATCAAAATAAATTCACTTAAGGTATCGAGAATTCCCCGAACCTCCCTAAGATTATAGTGTAACATGTTGCTGGATAAAGATTTCGAAATCTCTTGTGAGTAAATCAATCTTCTCAAGTGAAATAAGTTGAGTTATACTCAGTCCAAGGTATTCTGCTTGTATTGTAGGGACATAAAACCAGATAACCTGATACTGGATAAAAATGGCCATTTGAAGCTTTCAGACTTCGGCTTATGCAAGCCTCTTGATGATAAGTATTCAACAATTTTATTGGAAAATGAAGATTTTACCAGTGAAGAATCATCCAGTGAAACTGATGGATATTGTCCCTCCCCTTGGTTGATGCCAAAGGAGCAATTACAACAGTGGAAACGTAATCGCCGTGCATTGGTATGCCATTCTCCCCAATTTCAAGTTCTTCCGTGTGTGTTGTAACAAACAAAAAATCAAAGTAAATAAGTAATGATAAGTGTGTTTTGATTAGCTAATTTTGTGTTCAAAACATCTTATAATCAAAAAAAATTAGAGACAGCTTGTTTTTAAAAAAAGCGAATAATCGAATCCAAACATGCTCTAAATTATATTCAAAATCTATTATGTTACTGCTGTCTAAATTAAGTGGTAATTTGTTGGATATATAAAGTCTGTTAACTGTTACTAACTTTTACACTCCGTCAGGCATATTCAACTGTTGGAACCCTTGATTATATGGCTCCTGAAGTTTTGCTCAAGAAGGGCTATGGAATAGAATGTGATTGGTGGTCTCTTGGGGCGATCATGTATGAGATGCTTATTGGATATCCTCCATTTTTTTCTGATGAGCCGAGGACTGCCTGCCGCAAGGTATTACGATTGATTGAATTTTATATTCTCTTCATATCTTCTATTTATTCATAACAACCTGGTATTTCTGTATTGTGTCAGATTGTTAGCTGGAAAACATGCCTGAAATTCCCTGAAGAACCCAAGATATCAGCTGAAGCTAAGGATCTGATCTGTCGCTTACTATGTGATGTTGACACAAGACTAGGAACTAGAGGAGTAGAAGAAATAAAGGTAACAACTCTCATAGGTATAGCCTAATTACTATGATAATTCATTAAAATACTAGAGTAAACTATATTCCTTATTTGGTTTTCCTTGTCCCAAGCTATTTATTGTAAGCTCATTAAAAAGTGGATGATTCCTCAAAAGACAAGCAATTTAGAAAGTTGCCTGTTAATGTTATGCCGTGAGAAGATTTCAGATATTATTAGTCTGCGTAAGTGCACTGTCAACATATTAGTATTGATTTTTCAGGCTCATCCATGGTTCAAGTGTATTCAGTGGGACATGCTTTATGAATTGGAAGCTGCATATAAACCTATGGTCACTGGAGACTTGGACACGCAAAACTTTGAGAAGTTTCCTGATGTAAGCACATATTACAGAAAAAATTATGCATTGAAATTGAGTGAAATTTGTGTATGCAATAATTTCTAGCAAACTCAAAAACCATGTAATTACGGAAATTGAAGAATGTAAATGAAATGTTGGTAAGTATATACAAGGTAGTATTCTAAGAGGTTTAGTAATATGTGCTCTCTCAACTTCTCTTCCTATCTTCATCACAATGCAAATTATTCTCTCTTTTTTATAGTACATAAATTATTCTTTCTGCTACTGTTTATTTGTGGTCCGCATATGGGCTCTTGCATGGATAATTCAAAGGCTGACTCTACCTTGTACTGAACCTGAAATTCAACTTTTTATTTTGAAGAATATGTGTACAAGGACCAAACTTCCAACCATTGGGTCATAGAAGCTCTATTACTATGTCAAGGATCAACTTTCCTAAAAGTTTAAGTTGTTAGGTTAGGTGGAGGCTTATAAATGGTTTATTATCTAATAAGCATGCTTACCTAACCATCTCTTGGTATCTATAAATAGTTTAGTATTAATACAAATAGGTTGCAACAACAGTTGTAAACAAATTCTTTAAAATGGTGTTGTCAGAATTGGTAAGTTTTCAAAGTGACAGTAAATGCTAGCTATACAAGATTATTTATTTATATCGAGAACTATTTCATCAATCTTTTAGTTGTTGATTTTGGTTTTTCAAAGAGTGTTATTTGGTCTTTGCCTTTCATATTTGCTATCATTTGCAGACAATGAGTCAATGACACAATATTTTTCCAAAACTGTAGCTTCTTGACCACGGATGGTGATTATGTCTCCTGTTTTTCATACTTTCTAAGCACATCTGAACTTGTGATTTCAATCCATGGCAGGTAGACGGCCCACCATCCATAACGGCAACTGTGGGACCTTGGCGGAAGGTAATTTTTGTTTTCGAGCTTTTAATTTATCAAAATCGTGAGTAAGAGCTTGCATGCTGGTCTTGTTCATTGCATTTGTATGTATGTGGTGTGTGGGCATATTGCATACATGAAAAAATAACTTTCTTTTGGTTGATCCTTAACTTCGACTGATTTTTATGTTTTCTTTTTCTTTTTAAATATCTCTGCCTGCTGTTGTATTTAATGATATTCATACAATTGTGCTCTGCATTTTAGGTTGAGATTAGCGGCATATATTCATTATATGTTATTTTGATGAACAGTACAGTATATTCTGCTGGATGAGGTCTAGTCAAAGCAGTTTGTCCTTGTTACAGTTATAGAAAACTACAGTCCTCTATCTGTGTTAATTTTTTTAGTTTGTTGTTGATGGCCTACTCAGTGGGTCAGTTAGTTAGTTGTTGTAGAATATTCCGTGAGTAGGATAAAAGGTGAGTGTGTGTAGGGGGGCATGCATGAATTCAATATTGACTTATGGGAAAATTAGAGATTTTTGGAAGTTGAGATTTCTAAGTTTATTTTCTGCATTTTATCTTGTAAGGAGCTTGACTCCATTTATGTTATTTGCAAATTCAGATTTATAAAAGTATGTTCCATCAATAAAAGAAAAAAAATTAATTACAGAATTTTATGGAGATGAATATGAAATTAAAGCTTGAGGATAGTTGTTCGGGCTTGAATAACATTTTTAAGCACATCAAATTCAAGAAGCTGATATGTTGAATGAAGCTGTGAAGGGGTTGAGAGGTCGTGCGTTTCACTAGTACAAACTTTGGAGTGACAGAAGAAGAAGACCAAGAAAAAGAAGAAGGAGAAAATATCAAAGAGAAGAAAAATGTTAGGGAACAATTTGGTCCTTCGATTGGGAAGATTGGATGTGTGTCTGGTGGGTATGGGGCTAAACCATGCACCCAAGCTGCATTAGCAAATTGGGCTGCAACCAATAATGATATAAGGCCCACTTTCGAAAATACAGCAGGGAGAAATGGGCTGGAAATACTGCAACGAAATGTGATCCAAATAGGAAGACAAGGACATAATTTAAATGAAAGGAGCCCAGTCGAGCCCAATTCAGTAAATGAGAGAAATGGGACAAATAACACCGAGACCATAACGGGAACGGAGGCCACAGGGGTGCGGAATTCAGGCGATACACGCTAGAAGTGCTCAACGATAAACAACGGCGGAATTTGTGCCTTAAGTGCGATGCACCAGACTCTCCTGATCACGTATGCCAAGACCCACACATCCACGTAATGCTGTTGGGAGCAAGAGCCCCAAATCTGTTGGAAGGAGAACTTTTGGGCATAGCCATTAGCAATGGAGAAGTAGTGGCTCTTCGATTAAGTGTGTATAGCACTGTGGGACTGACATCAAGTCATTCATTGAAGTTTTGGGGAGAGATATAAGGTAGGAAGGTAATGGTACTTCTCGACTTGCCAATTGCTCAAGAAATAATAATGGGCCAAGTGAAGAGCAAGCTGCATGGGCCAGAATTAGGGGACAAAGACCTCCTTCCACCGCTGCAACAAATATCCTCTGTTTTGTGGCTGGAAATGCGGCAGAAAACAGAGCATGAAGAGGGGGGGGGGGGGGGTTATTCCTTGTTTTATGGCCAAAAATGTTACAGGAAATACCACAATAGAGGAGCAAGGAGGTGCAACAAATTGCAAGGGAGTAGTGGGCACAAGCATAACTGAGTCTCTATGCTTCAAACAATGGGACCTGGGTGGAAGCTCTCTCACAATATTTGTCCTCTTCCTTCACCTCGAGGACAAGGTGAATTTTGGAGGGGAGTATTGATGGGTCTAGTTAGTGGTTAGTTAGTAAGTTGTTCTAGAATATTCTGTGAGTAGGATAAAAGGTGAGTGTGTGTAGGGGGGCATGCATGAATTCGAAAATTGGGGATCTTGGGAGTTGAGATTTGTAAGTTTATTTTCTGTATTTTATCTTGTAAGGAGCTTGGCTCCATTTGTGTTATTTGCAATTTCAGATTTATAAAAGTAGGTTCCATCAATTGTCAAGTTTATTCCTCTTGAAACTCTCCTGTAGGTCTTTTATGTGTGGCACTTCTGCTGTTGTGTTTGAACTTTTTCAGCTTCCTTGATAATTTACTATTTGTTTGAAATTGCAATGTTATGATATTTGTTTTCGTTCTTGACACTCTTGCAGATGTTGACATCCAAAGACACCAATTTCATAGGATATACTTATAAGAAGTCAGACATCCTTAAATCGCTTGAAAATTCAGGTATGCAACTTCTGTTGCTTGATTCTTTTTTAGCACAACACATAATTGTCATATTAGATTGTAATTTTGGATTTATGTTGGTCCGTTTGGTGATTTCCTGGATTTAAATTTATATGAAGTAAGAAAGCTGGTATATGCAGAAACCCTTGATCAAAAATAATTTTGCTAACAAAACTTAGGAGATTGAGATAAGAGGCACTGGATCTTAGGAGAAAAAGCACAACGAATCAGCTTGATTAAAAAAATAGGGGGTGGGGTGGCGCTGGTCAATTGCTTGTTTGTTTGGGATCTTTTGCGGCATCTGTATAGGCCAGAGAGCAACATAAACTATTAGATGAAGATTTAAAAAAGATGGCATCTAATTGACCCTTAAAATAAAATCAGCGGAAATGAATTTGCAACGAAATTGGTTCAGGCAAAGAAATATGTTTTCCTATCTAGAATATAAACACCTGGAGCTAGTGGGAGTTTAAGAGATAAAATGAAAAGATGATCCTCCACTTGTAGGCGTGTCCAAGAATGCAACAAATACTTTCTGACTAAAAAAACTGCCATTTGTTGCTTTAAATTTTAGCATTCTTCTGCAGATTTTAACATAATATTTCGCAGATGCTGATGTCAGAGTAAATGGATCATCAAATACCCCTTCCTTGATTTCCTTGTTAGGTATGACAAGCTATACGTAATGCGCAGATGCTCACTAGTAACTTAATGCATGCACATATGCACTATCTTTCTTCTGGTGCTCTTATAGATGGAGTAAATAATTTACATAATGTAGCAAAATTTCTTAATCCCTTGTGGAGGAGAAATATTCTTTTACAAATAATAATTGCTGCAAAAGCACTTATTTTCTGTAGGCTTTTTTCTTCCAATTTAGACCAGTATAGGCTGATGGGCATATTCTGGTAAAGAAGGTTCAACTCGGCGAATTTACAGCTGATATTTTAACATGCCGTGGTTATGCAGGTCGGATTGATTTGCAAGATACTTCCATTTCAGAAAGTGAGCAGAAGCCAGAAACTTGAATCAAAACTTCCTTCTTGTGCTTTTACTGGATCCTGTATTGTATTAGTTTTACGCTTGGCATTTGAAGATTGAAGATGACTAGTGTTATCAAGCATATTCATAATTCAATACAGGCAACCCTTGATTAAGGTCATGGATCATGGTGGACTTAATACTACGAGGCTCAGTTCTACTGCTTTCTGCGCTCTCAATCGATGATTCTATCCTTGACAGGAAGTCAAACCTGTGCTGTTCATATACAGTTCCATTTCCGTCTCATAAAAATCCAGTTATTTATGCAGTGTTTAGCAACGAAATTTTTTTGGCTGTCATATATAGATATATACATTGTATTCAGATATTTTGATGGAAATTTTGCAAACTAATTCTTTTTTTCGAATATACGTGGTCACATCTTACTAATATATGGTCCAGGGGGAAAAATTCAATGACTGGCCTGCTTATTCGCATCAAACAGTACTTTACACTTAAATCACCTTTCTTCTTCGGAATGTACCTTCGAATATTAAAAAAGAAAAAGAAAAAAAGGCTAAACATTACGTTAATTCTTAAACAAAACGTGAAGAGAATCAGTGTCTAGGGATGGAATTGATGCAGATGCTATAGCACGATGCTCTACATGTTGAATGGTAGGATTTTCTCTTGAACTTTGCCAGGATATTTTCATTTTGATTTTAGCTCTCAGCAAAGAGCCACGAATACCATTCGTCATATGTCTATGTCCCGGTCGTTGTTAAATCAGGCAAACGGATTTTGTGATTGTCGTCGTGGTTCATACAGCTTCCATCACAGTCATACGGTTCTCTTTACAGCTACATTATCCTGGTCTCTTTCTCTTTTTTTTTTTTTTTTCTCTTGTCCTGTTTTAATCTCTGATAAATGCCATCAAGGAATTCAAATGGTTCGGCTTAAGATGAAATTATGCACCACTCAACTCGATTATCATTCTATTATCTGTGCTTAACTCCAAATAATGTTCATTCATTCACATTATATGAATGCATATCTAAATGCATAAAAACCCAAATGGATCAGTTTAAATTGTACTTAAATACATAAACACTTTTTGAAAAGCTTGATATATTCTTTAACCTTTGGATCATCATACAAGAACCGAACTTACCTAAGTATAACTTCAGCCAGAGGGAAGCATTAAAAAAAATAAAAAAAATAAAATAACCTTATCCCCTTTTTCTTTGGTAAACACCTTATCCCCTTTTAAAGGGAACTGGATTCTCAAATAATATCTCTCAAGAGTAAGTCGTAACTTGATTAGAATTTTATATGTTTATTTTTCTTTTATATAACTTTTTGTATTAGATTTTTTTTATATGTTCATTTTAGTCGTAACTTGATGTTCAAAAAAAAAAAAAAAAAAATGAGAATTTTTTTTTTATCATTTTAAAGGATATAATTTTTTATCATTTTAGATTCTAACCGTTGATTTTCGTCAAATGGTTAAAATTTATTGGGCAAATTTATTAATTAATTAATAATTCACAATAAAATCTAATAAATCCTAATAATTGATTGACGAAATTTAACAATTAAAATCTAAAATGACATAAAATTATATCTGTAAGAAAGAATAAATGTTTTTCCCGTTAAAAATTCATAGGAGAATAACCGGTTTTCTTTTTCAAGCTATTTCATTCTTAAAATCAAGTTTCTAGATGTAAAGTGCAAAAATAAAATATCAAGAGCAGCCGTGAACCCAAGCCACTTAAAATTAAATAAAAATTATAAGATAAACAATGCGAGGAATGAGGATAACAGATATTTTTGGATGCCCCGATGAAAATATCTACCCGCGGCGACTTAGACCGTGACGTGGCTCTGGGATGGTCCCACGACACGTGTAAAGCGTAGACAACTGTATTCTCTTTTTTGTTCCCTAACACCGCCCTTTTAATCTCTTCTTTCACCTCCTAATACATTCTTCATTTCTCATCATTCCATTCTTCCATTGCACATGAAGAAGAACAATTTCAGAGTAGTAAGAGAAGAAACTCGGACGAGTCAACCCACCTTTCACAACGAGTCGAGCGAGTTCATTTTATCACCCATGGAGAAGCAGATGCAGGTACCTTTGCTTTCTTTAAAATGCTTCTTCTCTGTTCTTCATCGTTAATTCGATTTCAAACGCTGCTATCAATTCCTTTGTTTACCTGTTGTATGAATTTTTTCATATAATTTTTTGTGATTTCATCTGAGGGAGAAACAAGCTATACTATACAGATTATTATTATTTTAAATTAAAGTGAATTATTCATGCTTTTGTTTGATTCAAAATGAAGAATATTCCATTTATATGTTATATTTTATTTTTTTTGGTATATAAGCATAACGATTATTTAACTCTCTGATGGAGATTATGTAATGTTCGCTACCAGAACGTTCTTAATAATTTTATTATTTGGATTTGTGTAGAAAATTTATTTATATTTCATTTCTATTATATGATGAATTTTATAGTTTAAAATATGTTCGATTACCTAATAATACTGACATTTACATTTAATTGTGTAGTTAATTCTTATGTAACTTTTAGCTATTAAATCAGTTTTCAAGCGGTTTCTTTCATTTTTGAATGATTTTTAATTAGGAAATAAAAACTCTACGGAAATTTTCGAATACTGGTATAAGAAATGAAGTATATGCATTGTTCGTCATGATTACATCCTCTTCTGCATTTTTTTATTTTTTGGATTTCCTTTAAATTAATTTTTTTTTTTGTATAGAAATTACTTTTTTTTTTGTAAAATGCTTTAAATTACTTTAATGACATGCTTGGACATTTTTAAATTTTATTGACGGTATGGGCCCGTGATAACAAATAATTGCAGAAACAATGTTATTGTACACAATTTATAGATCCTCATATAGTGTTTATTGTTAGAAGTTTAAAATTTAGCATTTCCAAATAAAGAAAAAAAAATAAAGGTTTGAAATATAGTGTATGCTAATTTTGGGTTTATACTCAACTACTATATTTTTATATTTGTGCGCTTTTTAAATTAGGTTAGGAGAGATAGAAAGTGCGACCTAAGGAGTTAGGTAAGGGGGAGAGAGAGAGAGTATGACCAAAGGAGTAAAGATTTTTCTTGCACGGAGCAATTTCCTGTTATTAGTTTGGACATTTCAAGGGGTGGGGGGGATGATTCATATTACACAAAAAAAAGTTGGCACATATTAATGAAATTTATTAAATTTTAAACAATTAATTATTTATTATCATATTATTTTTAATAATTAAGATAAATATAACAAATAATAATATATCAAAGGTATGAATGTGTCAATGTACAATTTATTTTAGGAGGCGAGCGTGGATCTTGGCTTTTCCTTTTAAAAAGATCTTGGCTTTTGTTTTCCTTCAATTTTTTTAAAAAGATATGTGGATATTTTTAATAAAAAAAATGTGATTTTATAATCCATTAATGTTTACTTGACTTTATTATTAATTTTCACATATTTTTATCATGCTATAGCAGGGGATTAGGGCGACGGAATCCACAACGACAGCAGAGTGGACAAACGAGAAACACAGCATGTATATCAAGTCTATAGAAGCATCTTTTGTTAATCAGTTATATGATTCCAAGCAAATGAGGGCTTCATTTTCCCCTAAAGGAACTTCCAACGACCCTGCTACCACTTCTGGCCAGGTTTTCCTTTTAAAATTGTTCTACACATTCCAAAAATTTGACTCTTTTTCTAATAAAAAAAACCAACTATCTTTTTGGTGTTTGGTTGTTAGTATACTTGTTTTTCTTTTTAATAGCATGAAATATCTAGCCTAATACTTAAATATGTGTAAGTCTCTAAATATTTGTGCCGTAGTAATAAAGAGGAGAGTGAAAGAGAAGAGTAACTAACCCCATTGTTTGAAAATATTATAAGAGTGGAAGGAAAAGTGAAATAAGGTTCTCCTCACCCTTCAGAGTTCTAAAATCCTTTCTATTGAATTGGGTGATAAGTGGGGAGTCATCATTTATTGCAAGTCAATTATTGTTTTTATTTTTTATACCTAAAACTCATAAAAATGAAGGAAAGTGATACTTCCATTTCATTCAATTTCCTTGTGTTAAAAAATCTCCTAGAATCCTAACTCTTAAAATTGATATTCCAAATTATTTATATGTGGAGTTAGTATTATAGTTGTACATTAAAAAATAACTCACATAAAACCACGCTTTTTTTTTTATGCAATAACAGTTCAAGGTCCTTCGTTGTGGCTGTTGGCAAAAGATAAGTTTTGAGAGAGAAAATCCGCAAATGAGTAGGATTAACCAGTGCCATGATTTAACAGCAAATCCATGGATTCGGCACTACAGATCTTCAAACAAACAGCGAAGTGTAGTAGCTCCATCCCTTCAAGAAAGTGTTACTACTACTAGTCAAGTTGTTGAGCTAGGCCAAAGGAAGGGAATTACCTCTGGATCAGAACATCTTCATTTGTGTGAATCTCATGTCCATCATCAAGATATGCTTTGTAGCGATACAGGTGAGCCAAAATTTTCTACTACTTATGCTTCGAATGTCATCTTTTAAAATTGCCTTTCCTATATGTGTTTTCCTGCATAGCTGCTGACTTCAAATATATGTTATGACCAAATGTGACAACCAAAAGTTAGTTGGTGAGTGGTGACCCTTCTAGCAATAGTGTACTTTCTTGCATTCTTAAATATTTTGAGTTAAAACTAAGGTTCTTCCTTAAATTTTGATTATTCGGGTGTTGTACTGTGAAGATTTTCAGCCTACATGTGCATAAATCAGCCATAATACAATGATTCTACTCTATGATTTATGAATGCCACATACAATAATTCGCTCTGTCAAACTATTTTAATTTGAGTATCTGGGTCTTGCAGAGATGTCAGATCAGAATTTTGTTGATGAAGTGGAAGTTGAAGAGGAAAACAACAGAAGCAACGTGAAACGACATAAATCTTTGATAAGTGATGCAAAAGGCAATGATCAGGTAATATTTTATTTTACATTATAATTTTGGTTGTTTTGGATCTCAGAATTTCTTGTACACGCTTGACACTGAGTGATGGCCATTTCAAAATGATGTTTCAGATGGTCCCTATCAGCAAACCTTCTTCCATTGGAGATGCAACCAAGAATTGTGTTTATGCTGTTTAGAAATTGAGGGGTTATCAGAAATTGAATCCGCTGTAACTTTTCTGAATGGCATGTTCTTAGGCAACAAAGCAGCGGGAGAGTTGGTGGAAATTGCAAATACTAATTGTTAGAATTGATTTGTAGCCTGAATTTTAAGATAAAATGCTTTTTATGTGTAGTCATGGTTTGGGTTTTGTAGAGTGATTGGTCTGAAACATGAAAAAAATAAAAATAAAAATAAAAAAATACTATCTGGCAGTTGTTGTTTTGCTTCTGTTGATGATGTTTGTATCTACATAAGCTTCTGTGTTTTTTATGATTTATGATTGCAACTAATTCGAGTCATTTTCCGGTTTCTATAGCCTTGATTGTGAAAGAAAATAGTCATTGGGTTTTCTACTGAACCATTTCAACTGCGAATGCTTATTGCAACTCGCAATCAAAACACCATATTGTTCTCGAAATTTGAATAACCTTGGCTTGGGTGAACTGTTCACATATATATAATGCGCTGGCAGACAATTACAATATCATGTTATAAGAAATATTGTATAAATTTCTTAATCTCAACGTTAATGTTGATGTCTTATTTTATACTAATTAAAAAAGTAAATTAGTATTTACAAAAAAAAAAAAAAAAAAAAAAAAGTAAATTAGTAAATTTCGAACAAATTGTTTGAATACCACCTTGAAAGCAATATGAAGGGATAAAATGTATATTTATAATTAAATATTCTCATATTATTTAATAATAACTTTCATCTTTAATGATGAAGGTATAACCAGCGGTGAAAATATATCAGGCTTATCGGGAACGACGGGAAGGGGGTGATGGGATTCTTTTTAGCAAAAAGACTAAGCTTAAAGAAAATAAAATAAAATAATTGCAGGAGGTAAATCTATGTCTTTCTATTGAAATTATCCAACTTAAATAGCATTTACAAACAGCAGTTATAACTGCAGGGAATAGAACGTGGTTATAAAGTAACTGACTACATAAAATTTAATCTAAAAAATAGGAAATGGGACGTTAATGTAGTGAAGACCGTTTCTCTAGCCATTATTGCTGCCCACGTCATGCACATAATCAGACAAGTAGGATGGTGTCTTTCGTGTACGAGGTTCCACTGAAGTTGTTGGGCTCGTATAAGGGGTCTACGTAGTGGTGTGCAAAAAAAATTGGTTCACTTGTTCTGTCCTTGATCCGATCTTGACCCGATCCATAAATATTCATATTTTTTGAACAGGTTAAAATACTGACCCATTTTTATTTGGGTCAGTTTTAGACATGACTCGTTTTAATATTGACCCACTGACCCAAAACTTGACCCACACTCATTATATGAAAAAAAAAATCACAATTACATTAAAAGAAAAGTTTTAACGTAAAACAATTACGTCAAATTTTTTTATGGAAAATATTTTCATACAAATTTTCGCAAAAATTTTTAACGAAAAATATTTTCATCAAAATTTGTGACTAAAAACATATCGGAAAAAACATTTAATGGAATATTTTTTTTGTCAAAATTTTTTACGGAATAAAAATTTCGTCAAAATATTTCACAAAAAAATATATTCATAAAAACTTTCGACGAAACACATTTTCATCGAAATTCTTTGACGGAAAAAAATTTCATCAAAATTCTTTACAGATTTCAAATTTCGGCGAAAATTTTCGACGGAAACATTTTCGTTAAACTTTTTGACAAAAGAAATTTTCGTGGAAATTTTTAGCGAAACAGATTTCTATCAAAAAATTTCGACTAAATAATTTCGTCAAGTTTTTTGATAAAGAATATATCTATCAAAATTTTCAACGGAACACATTTCTGTAAAAAAATTCGTAAAATTTTTTGACAAAAATATTTCGATAAGAAATTTTGACAGAAAAAATATTTTGTCTAAATTCTTTAGAGAATCTAAATTTCATCGAAAGTTTCAAATGAAACATTTTCCTCAAAACAATTTCCATTGAAAATTTCGACGAAACACATTTCCATCAAAAAATTTCGACGGCAAAAATTTTTATTAAAATTCTTTACAGATTTCAAATTTTGGCGAAAGTTTTCGCCGGAAATAGTTTTGTCTCAAAAAAATTTGACGGCAAAAAATTTCATCAAAATTCTTTACAGATTTCAAATTTTGGCGAAATTTTTCGACGGAAACATTTTCGTCATCAAAAAATTTTGACGGTAAAAAATTTCATCAAAATTCTTTGCAGATTTCAAATTTCGGCGAAAGTTTTCAAGGGAAATATTTTCATCATCAAAAAATTTTTACGGCAAAAAATTTCATCAAAATTCTTTACAGATTTCAAATTTTGGCGAAAGTTTTCGACGGAAACATTTTCGTCATCAAAAAATTCATCAAAATTCTTTACAGATTTCAAATTTCGGCGAAAGTTTTCGACGAAAAAATTTTCGTTAAATTTTTTGACAAAAAAAATTTTCGTCGAAATTTTTAGCGAAACACATTCCATCGAAAATTTTCAACTAAATATTTTTGTCAAGTTTTATGATAAAAAATTTCCATCAAAATTTTCAACGAAACACATTTTTATAAAAAAATTCCGTAATTTTTTTTGACAAAAAAAACATTTTGACGAAAAAAATATTCTGTCAAAATTCTTTAGAAAATCTAAATTTCGTTGAAAGTTTCAAATGAAACATTTCCCTCGAAATAATTTCCGTCAAAATTTTTGTCAGAACAGATTCCCATCGAAATTTTGAACGAAAAATATTCCGTCAAATTTTTTGACAAAATTCTTTTTTCGTTTAAAACATTTGATGGAAGAAATCATTTTCGTCAAAACTGTTGACGGAAACTAAATTTCAATAGAAAATTTTTTTTTGTAAAAATTTTGACCAAAAAATAATTTTGTGACGAAATTTTGGTCTTTTGCAACGTAAAAATTTTGACAAAATTTTGTGAGAAAACCAAGTCAAAAACGGGTCAGGTCAGATTTGACTCAGTTCAGAAACCAAGTCAGACCTACTTCAGAAACCAAGTCAGGTCATATCCAAACTGGTTCTGAACTAGTTCAACAAAATTCAATCCAAGTCAGACCTGACTTGAATCAAATTAAAGCGGGTCGGGTCAAAATACCTGACCTATAAAAACCAAGTTGGGTCGAGTCGGACAAAAACCTTACCCGACCTGACCCATGCACAGCCCTAGGTCTATGGCCCGGCTCACATTAGGAACGAGCATATTTATTAAGAAAAATGTAGTTCTCGATTTTTATTATGTATCTACAAAGTAAAAATATTAAAATTGCAAAAAAAAATTCTTTTCTAAAAAATTGTCTGTTGACATGAAGAGAAAAAAAATGATTTTCATATTTTTACTACATACCACGGGGGATACATACCACGAGGGATATATAGTGTTATTGTAGAAAATTTCTTCTCCATTAACCAATGTTTAAAAATTGGACCCGGCCATTGACTTGGCTGAGGTCAGGAGTCAGGGGGTCACGGGTTCAACCGAGGGGGGTCACGGGTTCAACCGAGGAGTCACAGGGTCACTTCTTTGACCCAGTTTTATACATTAAAAAAATATAAATATATATTTCATATGAAAAATTCAAAAAAATCAAACCACCAATCATGAAAGATTCAAAATATACTTAACATAATTCAACCAATTACATTCACAAGTCAATATTCACAAGCTAATGAAGTATCACACTATCAAATTATAAAACACATATTCCAATGGAGATAATGAAAAATTATATCATCAAACTCAGGCTCTTCTTGTCCTTCTCATGCACTTATAACAGTATGTGAAAAGAGATCCTTTACCCAATAGAAAATAGCAGAGGAAAGGCGGTGACACGACGATTAATGGTCACGATAAATTAACAGTAGGGAGAGAAGAATCAGCACAGTGGAGAAGATCACCAAAACAGGGAGTCTGGGTCTGGGAGAGAAGATCGGAAGAGAAGAAGAAGAACGATTTAGATTTTAGATTTAGGGAGCGTTTGGTAGATGAGAAATTTTTTTAAATTCAGGAAACTTGATTTCCTAGATTATGATGGGAAAGGTAGTCTTTTGGGAATGTTACAAAAAAGTTGTTTGGTTGATAAAAATATATATAGAAATATTGGGTTGGGTTGATTTTATAAATGTTATGTTTGGTTGATAATAAGATATTGACGGGAATGTATATCCAATTTACGAAATTAACTGTGAGGGGCGCTATTTTTTAGATCATCTTACTCAGTTTCCGTCTCTCTATTTTATCAACACTTCAAATTTATTGTTGTGTTTAGTCGTCCATTTCCAGATCCGTGTTCGTAGCCACCGACCACCTCTCGGACCCTGTGATTGTTAAGCAGACCTCTCTCTCTTGGTTGGTCGGTCAACAAATACACCCGAAAATTTTAAAGCAAGCGTCGATCCAGTGTCAGGAACTCAAGTTGGAGGTATTAATCTGCCACCATTACTTGTAGATCTGCGTCAACATGGGCGATGCAACAAAAGGGTAAAACAGTCCGAAAAATTCAGAAAAGTTTATCCAAGAAACCGAATTGTGGAAATACCACATATTTTGTGGTATTTCTTGGTGGTATTTTGACCACAAATTTGCACTGCAATAAAAAAGCTAGGCGTTTGGAAATCATGGGGAAATTTTTGAATTTCCTCTACCAAACATAGGTATACTACAATCCCAAGTGAGGTTTTTCAAGATTCTTAAAAAAACACCTCTACCAAACATGCCCCTAGTTCTATATCTAGGCATCAACAAGTTTTTTTTTTTTTTTACACATCAAACACGTCATTCGGGGTATAATTTTTTTTTTTATAAAAAGAAGTGCAGTGATCCTTCTGATCTCGAGAGTCACGGGTTCAACCGGGAGAGTTTCGGAGTTAGAGTGGTCAACGTGCAAGTAAGGTCTAACTACTAACCCGAACCCTGAGAGAGAGGGGTCAGTGACCCAAAAGGATCGACCTCGGGTGGGGCGGGATTTTAAAACACTGTCGTTAATCCATTTATTAAATAAGGTGAGATTTTTTAAAAGCTAGTTTAGTTTTTTTAAAAAAAATGTTAGTGTAATGACCCGAAATTTAAAGAATTAAAATAAATGGAGTCGCCACCAATTTTATTTACTTTGGAAAAATTGGAAAACCTTTTATTGCAAACTGGTCTTTAAAATTATAGATCAAAGGTTCGGGAGTCTAATTATGCTCAAGGAAGGGTGAAAA